TCTCACCCTGTAACAAATATTGTGCCACTTTCCATGCCAGATTTTTGTAATAGACTTTTCCTGCTTTGTATTTGGAACAGTCCACTACTAATTTAAGGGATTTCAGTACAATCAGTTGTAAATTCTGGACTAATTTACCATTAAGCCTGAACCAATCTCATTAAAATCATATCCTAACTCCACTACCTTACCTACATAGAATCTGATGACAATGCATTTGATTTGAAGCCACTTCATTTTGACCTTTAGACACAGAGTAGAGTAATGGAGCGAAAAGCTCATTTTAATGAGATTGGACCTGAACATAATTAATCTAGTACTTTATAATGCTTATATTAACCCTTTACCTGCTGAATTTCTTATATGGACTTGTCCATCTTCCATTTTGGAATGACTATTATCAATATTTGGGAATCAAGATGAAAATTTAAAGTAGTATAGAGCTTGCTCAGATTGCACATATCATTTGCCCTTCACCATTGTAAGTTCAAATCCTATAAGGGGCCAGATTTTTTTTATCCAGTCAGTTTACAGATAATTGGTTGTATACTAATTAAGGTTTATTTTTTAACATTTATTTAAGCTTGATTATTAAACAAGTAACTTTGAGCTAACCAGTATCTGTGACATATGAGAAAATGTATGGTTAAAACCTGCAACACCAAGTTGAGGGGCAGACACCTTAACCATTAGGTCACTGCTCCAATAACCTGAGGTAATGCTTGAAGATGCAGCTGTATGAAGACATCATTATGACAACTGAGTGTCAGTATGACAACATATTAATTATTTATTTAGTAATACCCATACCAAGATATACAGGAATGGATTTTAGTGTTTGTTTTAACCCATATCATGCTAAATAAAAGAAATGGACTCAGAAAACCATTCTCATTTTCAGGGAAAATTTATAAAATAAGAAAGAGCTGACTGAATAGAAAACACTGCAAACCATGATCTAGGTCCGCAATAGCTACATGGGTAGATTTAGTTGCCACCATTTTGTCACACAAATAATTTCTCATAAGACCCCAGCAGTAATCAGTTAATGAAAGAGATGCAAGACTAATACAATTGAGCTGAGACATAGAGCAAACATCAATGAAATAATTATGGGAATGGTGATGTGTGGTAATTCTAGAATCAAAATCACAACAAAATATCTTATAGTATGCTTTTCCAGTCTTGTCTGAACAGATATTGGTTGTTAAAGTGTCAGGGATATAGTAACTAATGTACATTGTTAAGAATGAAGATAAGTATCTTATACACTTGAAGGTCTTTATTATAAGAATTAACACTCCCAGATAAGATTATGAAATAGCTTTATTGTAAGAATTAACACTATGGCATAAGGTTATATAATAGCTTTATGTTGTAATAGTAATCTTAGGGAAAAATTACATAAATAATAATATCATTTGAATTACTTAAATTGTGGAATGTTGATAAGCTTAACACAACAATAAATCAATTATAATCTGAATAACAGATTCAGACCTGTCTTGAAAAGCAGAGATGGAGTGTTAAATTGTTACATTTTGCAAGTTGTAACAGCTAGGTCACCTGTCATAAATTGTGTAATATTTTCTAGGACCATGCAGGGGACACTTGAGTGACCTCCTTAATTAATGTTAACCTATTTTATAGTTAAATAAACCATCTACTTGGCTTGCTTTAATTGTCCGGTTGACAGGTTAAGAGTTGACAGATGACATAGCTAGTACTGTAAAACCATTTACTGACCTATCTCAGCTTTTACATTTATTTTCGGCCACAGAGGTCAATCAAAATATACAATTAAGCTGTACAATTTATTGTATTCTTTGTTATTTTCAGTTTAAAGGGAAAACATTGTGATTTATTTTCCTGATTATTTAAAGTGGAGTGCCTCCAGATTCTTGCTAATTTTCATGAACATTTTGAAAATGTATTTAAAAGTAAAAAATTGTGCAGTGGTTAAAGAAAGTTATTTAAATATAAGTTATGTATATGCACTAACAATCCATGTAAATTACCTAAAAGAGGTCAAAATATTCAAAAATAACCCTTACTGCATTAGTAACACAGTAGAAATATGGTGATAAATATCGCAAAATCAGTCATTCATTGCACAAGAACATTTGAAAGACCCTGATTGCACATAAAAATGTAAATTAATACTTGAATCTTATACTTTTTCTTAAAATCTTAGTACAAATTATATTATATTAGTTTGGATATTCTTGAATTATCTTGACTCATCTTCAGGCATACAGCTTAAAATTTAAGTTAATTAAATGGGTACCATATATGGCAGGATCAATCAGACCTCTAAGTATTAAGGCACAGGCCTTTATATATATGGAATAAATTATAATCATGAATATTTCATGATTTTTTTTCTTGTGTACATGTATTTGTATGCATACTGAGATAATCAAATTAACTTTGAAACCGATTAACTGATTAAAATAAATATGATTAAATAATACATGTACTCTAGTGAGAAAAGATCTAATAGTTTGAGTAAGGCTTGATTAGTCAGTAAAGAAGATGTGATTAGTAAAAGGCTCTCAGTGAGAAAAGATCTTTTGGTTTGAGTAAAACTTGATCAGTTAGTAAACAAGATGTGATTAGTAAAAGGCTCTGGTGAGAAAAGATCTTTTGGTTTGAGTAAAACTTGATCAGTCAGTAAACAAGATGTGATTAGTAAAAGGCTCTGGTGAGAAAAGATCTTTTGGTTTGAGTAAAACTTGATCAGTTAGTAAAAAAAATGTGATTAGTAAAAGGCTCTGGTGAGAAAAGATCTTATGGTTTGAGTAAAACTTGATCAGTTAGTAAACAAGATGTGATTAGTAAAAGGCGCTGGTGAGAAAAGATCTTTTGGTTTGAGTAAAACTTGATCAGTTAGTAAACAAGATGTGATTAGTAAAAGGCTCTGGTGAGAAAAATCTTTTGGTTTGAGTAAAAGTTAATCAGTTAGTAAACAAGATGTGATTAGTAAAAGATAAACTGATTTTTGTGTTTGTCACACATGTACATGTTAACAAACAAAGAACAAAAGCAAATATTTGTTTGTATGTATTATATCAGTGGTAATATATCTTCCTGTTTAAAGTAATGTTTGCATGTTTAGACTTGTAAATTTGTACCTGTTTTGTTGGGCACTGTGAAATAATTATATTTGTAAAGCTTTTTTTCCTCACAAGTGTTGATTGTATGAATTAAACCAATATTTTGCATAAAAGAATTTTAGGACACGAAATCTTTGCAGATAATCAAAAATGTTTCAAAGTGCAAATAACATATATAAATATGCAAATATACCTGAAGCTATTGTTTAATGTTTCACATGCCCAGAGATGATATCCACCCCATCATTACAGTTTTAACACACCTTCCCATACCTACCCCATCGACAGTGCTGAGTCATTTCTGGACACATTTTACTGTAAAAAATAAAGTACTTTTGGGCATATTTTTAACATATATTTATATATGCTAAATCTGAATGCTTTCCATTTTTCTGGCATTCATTGCTAATTCATCCTTAAAAAAGTAAAAAGACAATGCAAAATACCTTAAAAGATGCTTACTGATTAATGAATGGTGACTTCTATATAAATTTAAATATTTAAAAGAAAAAGAAATTTTTGGGATTTGAACCCGATCCCGCTATTTAATAACATATGATTGACACATTTATTTTGCCACAAAAGTCTTTAAATATGCTTCATCTTTTGTTTCATATAAACATCAAAACAGGTTTTTAGCATGAATCAAGGCATATATACATGTAAATAATAACTGCTGGATGGTAATTTTATTTTTGATCTTCAAATAGGAGATTATTTTATGATATTTTGGCCATTACTGGCCCGAGATAGATGTGCTGAATGCCTGTAATTCTGGTGCAATATGTGAATATGTCAACCATATTTTTGTTAACAAGTTTTCAACACAATAGAATCAAATTGGACTGACTTCAAAAGACAATAATTCTTTCAATTATGGTATACTGAAGGTTTTAAAAGAATGATCTACATCTGTTTATTTAAAGTTACTCTGTTAAAAAAAATCTTTTTTTACAAGATACCCAAATTTACACAGAGGCACATTACTGGGTGTGTTTCTACGCATGTTTTCTTCTTTTGATTAAAGTTGTGTATTTCATTTCTTTTACTCCATTATTTTTTTTTTATTCTATTCTATTTTTTGCTTTTTTTTTATTAAAAAAATTGTGAGAACAAGATTACAATTTGTTATAATTTGTTTGTATGTTTGAAACAGGCCTCAATTTAGATAGTTTCGCCATTTGCCTGCTGTCTTAATTTAAAATATTAGATTGTGAAATTGTAATACATGTTTCTTAAAAATCAAGAATCTTGAAATTCCTTGATCTTGAACATACTATAGATATTAGAACTCTTATATCTTTAAATTTGTTATATTAGAAATCGTCTATCTTGAAATTCCTTATCTTGAACATACTATAAATATTGGAATCCTTATGTCCCCTTGAAAATAATAGTTCTTAAAGCTATTGCAAATCTTGAATTAGATTCTTAGATATCATAGAATATTATATAATATTGATAAATGGATCTTCAAATTTCGTACCTATAAGCAGGGGTTTTCAATATAAATTTTCTTACCCAAAACTTAGAGTAGTCTTATTGCTTTAATAAACATTTTACACCTATCAAGTCAGTCGAACAGTTTCATATTAAAGTAGTCTGAATAAATTATAATAAAATTAATGAGGACATTTTCAGTATAAACACAGCCGCACCTCTGTATACTATTTACGTTTAACTCAACGTCTATGTAAAATCAACACATAAAAAATAAATCACCAACAGATAAACCTGTCTAAATTAAGATGTTTTTAGTATCTTCTGATATGACATAATTATGCATTTCCTGTCAATCAAAACAACGTCTGCATGATAGCGCGTGGTGAAGAGTACCCATTTCCTGTGCTACACGATAAAACTAGTATTAAAGCACACATCGACACAAATTTATCGTGCATTACAAACATTTATCGTGGCATCGCCTAGCTCGAGGCATTTTGGACTGTTTCCAAACTTTAAAGCATGACTAATATACCATTCGTTTCTTTTTGACAGGTCACGTGAACATTCAGTATAAATACAACGTTTCGCGGGCTAAAGTGTTTAGTAGTGAAATAGGCGAGCAGTGTATTGGATTTATAAATAAGATACGCTACGAGAATGCTCGCGTAGTGGATGTAAAGCTGATGTTAAAACATAAACTACCATAAAGTAAACGTAGCTATCAGCTTAGCTTTTTGTGCATGGAAAGAAATATTGGATTTATACGCTATGAGAATGCTCGCGTAGTGGATGAAAACATAAACGTAGAGAATTGTTAAAGCTATCAGCTTAGCTTTTTGTGTACAGTGTTAGTACATGGAAAGGATCGACTTGTTTAAAACAGCAAGTTCATCGCTATTTAATGTTTACAAATTTCCGAAGGAAAACAACAATGTAAGTATATATAAAAAGTTCATAACATTTAACAGTATTAGATATTTTTAATATACGGAATAAATGTGTTTTCATTGTAAGCTGTTTTAACTGTCAGTTTACTTGTAGGGATTACGTTTAAGAAGAATAAGAGTGACTGCCCCCACCATTTATAAATAAGGATATAGAAGTGGGGATAACTTAAAAAACTCGTTTATTTCTTTTTTCGTTTTATTTTTTTGTTTTTGTTTAATAAGGCAGCATTTATAATAAACATAAATTATATCTCTGGGAATTTTATTTTGATTTTAAAACCTTAATAAAATCATATATATAAGATTGAAACTGATTGTATGAAGAAGAAAAATATATAGACAGTATAAGAAAATATTACTACTTAATTATCTGGTCATACCAGATTACTCATATAAAGCCAGGGATACATACTCAAGTACAAATATATGAAGCGTAAACCCTGTATAGCGTGGTAATTTGATAACTTTCACCTCAATATATTTACTCTATATTATGAGTTAACTCTAATAAACCACATTGAAATACAGACAAACATCTTGGTTCCCAGCCAGAAAAGTTATCAATAAGCAACATGCTGTTTTTATTCACCAGCATACACTATGCGATAAGCGTAAATACTGCTAAAGATTTGAAAAAGATTTATAGCAGTTTGCACCTTATCTGCAGAATATCTTCCTTTTATAAATACTTGTATCCCAGTCTCTTATGCTAACGTGAGCGTATAGAGTTCATTGACATGAAACCCAAAGGGTATCTGGCCTTTTCACATTTTGTATTTAAACAGCTAAACATACCACAAGTACATTATTTAATATATCTTAAAGGAATTTTGAACAGTTTCCGAACTTGACATTTCATTACAATGTTTTACTTTCCTTTTTATTCAAAATGTTTCAATTATGTAACTTGTTGTCTTTCTTTATTTTTTTTTCTTTTATTTTTTTTATCATTATATATTAATCAAAATCTCCACCAATTTCCAAAAGTAAGCATAGATATAAATATTGTATACTTAAAAAGGTTATAAATCGATGTATATTGTCAAGGGTCATTGACAGACCTAAATAAATCATTATTTTTCCATAGTTATACATTGTAAATGATATTAGTCGTTTGATGAATAAACTTTAAGAAAAGTTATCGTGGCGTAAAATTATATTATCAGAATTTCTGCGAATCATGAAACATCTCATCTGGACATCATTTTTAAAAAAAAAAATTGCAGGTTTGAAAATGCAGGATTTTATGGCCACTTTATGCCAAAGAGGTCAAATTGGCAGAATTCAAACTGGTATAATTTGCTTGTTATAGATAGGGTGTTAGCTGCTTATATTTTATCATGAATATCTGTGGATATTCGATTTTGGAATGGGATTTTCGTGCATGTATTTCTTGGAAACGCAGTCTCCCCCTTCTGTCATCCTTGTAATTTTGTTTTACTTAACTTTTGTATTGATATAAGTGCATGTATACGGTCGCAGGTGTTTCCCTGAAGAACAAAAAGCAATTTTCGGAACAGTATTTTTTTAAAATAAATGAATACATAATATATTATTTTTTCGAATATATTCAAAAAAGAATTTATTCAGTTTAAACCTGTCTAAGTTATTGCCTTTAATATCATATTCTTTCATTTAAAATTCTTTTTCTCTTGTAGTAGTAGTTTTAACAGATATATTTTTATAATATTAAATTCAGAAATAAATGAAATGCTCAAAAGTATTTCTCATATAATTTTTACAAGATGTCATGTGCATCATACTGTTACCTGTTTAATTTCTTTAAATAGGACCTGTCCCACCCTTTTACTTACAACTTAAGCTTTTATGAAAACGATTTCAAAATAGATTTCTAGTACCATAATTTATATGAAAAAAATGTATGAAAATATATAGAAATAAATAAAAATGTGATTAGTTTTCAAGAGGGCTGGAAAAAAGTTTTATAGTACTGAATTACTAAGTTGATCTTGATGGCACATCGGTAGAAATGTTATGTATATTACCTTAATAATTCCGAGCACAGCTTACATTGTAAACTAGTGGTTGACCGATCTACTCGTACTAAGAAAAAAGTTTTTTAAACGCCCAATCGGTTGATTATAGCAGTAATTAATCAACACATTTGTTTAATTTTTTCATAGAATAAGCAATAAATAAAATATTATTGTACTGACAGGTCGAGAGGAGGACATAATGGTTTCAAAAGATGGCCAGCGGATGGAAAACAGTATAGAGGATTTAATGAGAGGGATCGTTTTGAAAGAGATAATATGTTTCATAAACAGCAGCCATCTAGATTCCAATCAGGCTACCATCCCCAGGATCGTCGGTATAATACTGACCAGAATGCAAGATATGCGCAGTTCCAGCATGTACAGCATCGACAACACCCGCCTTCACAGGCTTGGAACTATGACTCATCTTACGATTCGAGACAAAAGTCATACCATGATAATAAAGAAAATAAGAATAATCCAAATTATCAAAGGTATACGCCACCGAGAAAAGAAGATAATCATGATCGTTTGCGGGATAAACGCAAGAGGTCTCACTCACCGCAAAGGCGTCGACGTGGTTCCCGGTCAAGAAGTTCAGAAAGTACTCATTCTAGAAAAAAACGAAGGATAAAAGAGAAAAGAAGACATTCGAAGTCACCTGCAAACAAAAGTGATTTTTTAAATAAAGGAAATTCATTTCAAAGGGAGAACAGAAGACAGAATGAAGATCAACCAGATGAAAGATATTATAATAGAGATCATAGAAACAGTAGAACACCAGTGGTGACAAAATTTCACAGAAACAGTCGGGCACCAGTGCCATGGACAAAATATCACAAGAAGAAAAAATTCTTTCCCAGTTATTTCATAAACAAAAATCGGTATACATGGAGAAAACCCACTGGTAAAAAACATGAAAATAGCAATGGAGTAAGTTTGGGGAAAAAACTTACAATACCACCAATATCAAATGATGAATTTAGCCAGCGGAGGGAGGAGGCTGAGAGTGAAGGCGACAATGAAGAAGGCTGTTTGACAGATGACTTGGAAGAAGGTGAAATTGATACTGGCAATGATAGTTTAAACGAAAGGGCAAGGAGAACAAAAAAGCAAAAACGGAGACAATCAGAAGAAAGTAAAATAAAGCAAGAAAGAGAAAGCAAAGGTAATTACACAGACGTTAAAGATGTTGTTGCATCCAACACTTGTCTCGAAGAGCTTAAGCAAGAACGTTTAAAAAAATTCCCAGTGGAGGATCTGAAAGCAGAAAAGAATGAACGACATTCTTATGTTCAAGACACATGCAAATTCTTCAATAGAGTAACCTCTGATAAAACGCTGAGCACAGGTGACAATAAAGATGTTGACTGTTTAAAAAAGGAAACAAACTTGGTAAGATTTGAAAACAATACACGTAAAGAAAATGATTCCAACCTCCCTGAAACTAATCCAGAAAAAAACAATACACTAAATTTAAGCAATGAAAAAACAAACGACCTCAAAGGTACAACAAATGCTAAAACCGATACTGAAGTATACGAAGATGTTACAGTACCATGTAAAATTAAATCAATTAAGCAAGGAAAAAGAGAATCGGTTGATAAGCTTGGAGAAACATTACGACTTACAAAAAGCAGTTTCATTTGTGAAAACAACATGATACAAAAAATTGTGTCATTGGCAAGCAAGTCATTAGTTGATAATAATTCTGATATTGAAAGTGAAATGGACGGCAAAGATTCAAAAAATGTTATCTTGCCAAAAAATAAAGGCCAAGTAACGGACGTAAGCAAAGAAGTAATGGAAAGTGGGGAAGGTGAATGTGACAAAATGTCAAGTGTTGAAGTTTGCAAAGATATGACAAAGCCTAATGCAATGAAATCAAGTGAAACCATTGAAATTCCTAAAAGGACTGGAAAAGATAATACAAATTTTGAACAAAACAAAATAAACAGACATATCAATGAAGTTCAAGTGAATGATTACTTAGATATAAAAAATGACGAGTCGCCTAACTCTTCACATAATGTACACGATGACAATCCTAGCGAAAAAGTTGAAAACAAAGTAAATGTGAAAGGAGGGACGTTGGAAAAGGTGATACTGACAAATAAGAATGAAACGTTTGTCAAAGATCAGAATTACATTGAACCGAAGACATTTTCTTCATCATGCGGAAATCAAAACTTATTTCCAATTAAAACCAATGGCAGTGAATTAAAAAGAAAGAAAACAGGTCAAGAAAAAAGTGAACCAGAATCTCGCGACAATGCAGTTGTTGAACGTCCGATTACCCCTCCTCCTTATACATCTCAATCAAGCAAACAAAACAAAAGGTATTATTTTGAAAATGGTCCTTCATTTGCCCGGTTCGGAGAACACCAGAATCAACCTGATCAATCTGATGCAATAGGAACACAATATAAAACAAAAAATTATGCAGAATCAAACAATCTAAGACATTCAGTAACGATTTCATCGTCTGAAGATGACAAAGAAACATTTTCGTCTTCTTCTAGAAATTTAGACAATGCAAAGAAAAATGAAAAGCTTGCATTCAAGCAAAGTACTTCTGTTAATAACAAAAATGGCTGCCCGACTGTGAATAAAAGTGGCTGCCATGACAGACAAAAGCTTTCACTTAAAAACAAGTCAAAGCACACAACATACATTGAATCAAGTAAGAACAATTCAAGAAAGCGCCATGGAGGTGTTCACTCAGCAACAGCAATTTTAAGTGGTAAGTATAATCCCAATTTTTAAGTAAAAATATTATAATAAAAAAATCTTAAATCGAATGCTAAAAATAGTTAGTTTCTCATATTCTAATTCGTATCTTAAGTTTTTTACTTAACATTGAAAAACTATCACTATGATACTTAAAAATAGTGTCTTAAATGTAAGAAACACATCTTTATGGCTAAAATGAAAAATAATTACACAAACGTATGTCATCTTTATTACTTGCGATCATGTTTTAAGCTGAATGCCTGGTTCTCTCAATTACTTTACAAAATTTATTCATATAACTGCTTTTTTACAGGAAGGAAAAACCAGCCAAGTGACGGTGTATTTTATCCACTTGGAAAACACATTGAAGACAAGCACAAAGTCATTAAAACTGTTCCAGCTGAACAGCAAACTGAATGTCCTAAAATACAAAATGAACAAAATCCAAAAGAAGGAAACGTAGAAGTAATTTGCGCTCAAGAAGGTGATAGTGTTCATCGTAGAAATTCAAAAGTTGAAGATTCAGAGAAAGAAGAGAGTGTTCCAAGGGTGAAGGAAAGTCTATTTAACAAAAACAAAAGAAGGATTTCACACTTTAATAGTAATAGTATTGAGTCTAATGCAAAAAAACCTAAAGTATTTCCAAGTGACACAAAAGCCAAGTCCAGCATATACAATGGTCCAGCATGTAAGTCTCCTATTGGTAATATTTTTGAAAAAATGGAAGACAAATTTCTCGTCAGCTCGAATGATAAAACTGGAACTAATCGCACGTTAGATAGGAAAATTTCTCTGGTCAGCGACAGAGATGCAAAAAAGAAAATGAGTAAAGAAAACGTTGAAAAATGTTTTAAACTTAAAACTAAAGGTGGCTTAAATGTACAAGAAATTGAGAAATCGAAACTGTTCTTTGTGAAAGAAAATGCAATGGAAACTGCCGAAACTAAATCTGTGAATGGTAAGAAAAATATAGCTATTGAAACCAACGAAACAAACAACAATATCCTTAACACTGTAACTGAGATAAAAATGTTGTCAAAAGACAACAATAGAACATGTTTGAATGTAAAAGAAGATGATAATGATAAAAAGATTGACAAGAAGAATGATGAAATGAATCTAAGTAATCCAAGTGAGAACACTGTTGAAATGAAAACAGTTCAGTGTACAGTCGAAGAAAATTCAACCGAACACAATGACAAAGAAAATCAAAATGCTTCTGGCATAAAACAAAATCATAAAGGATTACAAAATCATTCACAGAATTGGAACAAAGAACCAGACATTTGGATCAATGACACTTTGATAGGAAGAGAAGATTCGGACACATGTGAAACTCGGAAGAATTATCACGATGAAAGTGAAGGTATACAGAAAGAACAACGGAAGCCACTTGGTGAAAATGAAAAACATCCTAAATGTACAGCAAATGGATTGTTTTTAAATGAAAAAGCAGTCGAAAATGTATCAGAATCTGAAGATGACATGGATGACATTGAACCAATCGAAATGATTGGGTCAGTGTTCATGAATGATTTCAACATTGATGATGGTGATACTGAAAATAGTTTAACAAGTAAAAGAAGTATCGAAATTAATGAAAATGATTTGAAAGTCGACTATTGTGATGACAGCATAGTATTTCGAAGAACAAATTCAGATGGTGAATCAGAGATTATTGGCAACATTGACGAGGGGAAAGAAAATGAAACTAAAAATGAATCAGAAGGGTACAGTCAAGTTTCTCATTTAAATTCCCCAACGTCTAAAGAAAGCCTTTCTAAAAGTGATTCTAAGGGTGATATGTTAAGTTTCTCAAACACAGATATAGAAAAAAATGATGAAACCGGAAAAGAAGCTGGCTCCAATAGGTCTCCGACTAGATGTTTTAGAAAAACAGAGCGAAAGAGGTTTTCAGCTCAGCTTGAAACAATTGGAAAGAAGTTTGATGAGGAGAAAGCTGATGAAAATAAGGAAACTCAATTAAAAATTAACTCAAACTCGCTCAAAGAAATTATATCAGATAATGAAAAGACACAGAACGAAACCGAAAAGATACATTGCACAAAATCTACTGAATGGTTAAAGTTAGCTAAAACCAACATGCAAAATTTAGTCAAAGGGAAACCCAAAACACAGAAACAAACAGACACTTCTACTCAAGACGAAAATGATACATATGAAGAGGATTTACCGAGTGCCAAGAGAATCTTGCAATGGGTAAGTTTGATGTATATAACCATATGTTCGACATAACCTTGACCATGAAATAATTTCAATTTTATATCAGTGTATTTTTTGAATCTGTTTATAATCATTATATATGGTAATTATATGTACAGGGCTTTGACAAACTTTTTCTGGCATATTATGAAGCTCATGGAATGGAAAGCTGAAATTCTTAATATTCCTTATTGACTAAACTAATCTATGAATTAAACGAGAGTCCATGTTTTTATTGAGGTCTTTATCTTAAGTGGTCTATATATTCAGTTTTATTTGAATTTGCATATCAATAAGGAGATTGATACAGTGAAATTATTATTCAGGTATGTTTTATTTAAATATTAACGATTGACGTCTTTGTATGTCTTATTATCTATTTTTACTCTGTTTTCTAGGATGCCCAACAGCCAATTATGGAGAGTGTTAAAAGAAGTCAGTTTTACTTGTCTGCAACAATAACTACCTCATCTCAAAGCTTGTCAACGTCATCCCAGTCCGATAGCGGAAGGACTTTAAAAGCATCAAAATCTAAAGTTATATATAAAAGTCCTGATGGAACATCAAATCATGAGAGTCAATTAACTGCAAATTGCACTATCAAAGGAATACATATGTCTATCTCATCTTCAAATTGTGCTGAAGAAACTTACGAAACTAGTGCTTCTGTTCATAATCAAGCTGTCCAAAACTTAGAAACGTTGACGTCTTTGTCTAGTAATTTAGATACACATCAAAGTGTCACAAGGAAGGCGTCAAATATAAATTCTAAACAAAATGATGTTATAGCACAGAATCATTCTGTCATGAGAAGCCAAACTGGACAGTTTAGCCAACACAATCTGAAAGAAACAACAAATGAACGAGCACAAAAGCCAAACATGCCAGACAAACACTTGGACATAAATATTACAGCAAAAGAAGTTGTGTCAAACAATCCGTTGATAGATCAGCCATGCTTCGAAAATGGTTATCGTGATATCTCGGCACCAAGTAGTCAGAGCAAAAATGGTGCAGCTCTGTCACCTATTATTGCAAACGTGCCTATGTACAGTCAACTGACAGCACCATTGATGGATCGGAATACTCGTGTAGAAATAAATCAAGCTCCATTTAATTTGATGTGTCAAACTAATCCTGATGCCACGAACAACAATTTCATGACAAAACCACCAGTTATGAGTAGCAATCTACCGATAACTAATCATAACGCGGTGACACCAGAAAACTTTACATTGGCGTATGCACAAGTTGAAATGCCTGGAGTGCGGGAACCAGTTGGGCCGAATACCAGTCCGCAAACAACAAAACCAGTTTCAAGACCGGATGCAAAACATCCAGGTACTGATGTCCAAGATTTACAGACACAACTTCTCCGTGAAGTTTCAAAAGAAGAAAGACGATGCCAATTGTATAGAGAACTCTGTGACCTAGACAACATCAACACTGGTGATTGTAAGTATAATACAAAGCCTTTTTACATATTATTCCATTATAAAACCTGATGTTATGAATTTAATAAATTTGCAAGCAGTATATGGAGGTATATGTATTTAATACATTTATTTCATTTTAAAATTTGTTTGATCTTCTACATGCAAACAGTCAATGACTGAGCATTTATAGATTAACATTCATTTCATTCTAAATAATCGGTTCATTATTTAAACAATTAAAAGAAAAGAAATGAATGCTTACATTATTTTTATTGGCATCTTATATTTTTACAGTTGGACTGGACTTATTGCTTTTGTCAAAGAAAAGCGAATTAAGAGGATTAGCGTACGTTAATAAAGGTTTGCTATTTTTTTTTATTTACAAAACAAATATTTACGGTACAATAAGTAATTTATTTTAATTTCGATAACTTTATGGAATCGCGATATTATTAATGATAACATTTATTTAAATAAGTTGTTTTCAATGAATTAATTCGATTTGTTTTACCAATTATGTACATGTATGCGGTTAACGTTTACATCTTTATGCATTTTAGAATATTTACGTATGAGAACAGAACGATACGCGAACAACTTTCAACAACAACAAAATCAACAACAACAACAGTCATTTCAGTCAAGTAGTGGACATAGAAATACAGAAGGTTGGTTTCCTAATTAAGTTTATAATGAATGTTTGTAAGAGACACAATACTAAGTGTCGGAAATAATCTTATAAGTCAATGAATGAAAGAATATGAAAAGGTTACGAAAACTCCATACTGAACATACATGATCATCCTGACATAGAGTCTAGTGATTATAAGCTAGTTTAATGACTTAAGTAAGGATACAGTTTAATTGACTCTTACACATTATTTGTAAGATTTCAGCTTTTAAAGAGTTAACGTTATTGAAGGTATTTTAATTGGAACAGGAGAGTTAAATTGTAAAATAAAGATAACACCTTGTTGTATTTGAAGTACACGGAAGCTGTGTGGCATAATGGGTTTTGACCATGTGCTCAACTTTTTTGTGATGCTTCAAAAAAATATTCCGCTTTCATCATTCAAAATATATCTCAGTTATAAAGGATATCGTTTCAGAGAGAATTCATTACTTGGGTAACCTTAAACGAAGTCAAAAGTAGACATACAACAGAAGTGTTATGTAGTCTGTAAAGAGTTCAAACCATTACGTCATCAAAGCTGTTTTAGCTTTCTGCACAACAACAAACAACAACAACAACAAAGCAAGGACGACCATCGATAGCGTCAAAGGTTCAAGAATGAAAATATTTATAAACAACATCAAAGCTAGAAACAGAGCTAGACTGCTCTTCAACGCATCAAAGCTAAAACATTTAGCAATTACATCAACGCTTACTGACAACGTCAAAGCTAAAATGTTTTATTTACAACATCAAACCTAGACTGTGTATCATCAAAACAAAGCTAAAACGTTCATCAACAACATCAAAACCAGACTATAACTGATTTCAACAACATAGAAGGTGAAAACTTCATGAAGCCAGACACCAAAGCTAGAAACTTAAGCTTATCCCAACATTTTAGCCAGAAGGTTTATCAACAATATAAAGCTATTACCAACAGAAAAGCTAGAACCTTATCAAAAACATCTAAAGTTACAAAAGGATATGGTCGGCAAAGATTATCTTCAGAGATGAAATATTAAAAAAAAAAGACGTGAAAGATTTGATATACATGTATACTAGCTTATGTAATGGAAGAAAAACAACCCTGGTATATTGAGACCACATGTACATTTGTCTTTATATATGGTGAAGGTGTAATTATTAGGGTATATTGAGACCATTTATGTACATTTTTCTTTAAATATTGTTTTGTAAAGTGGTGACGGTGTATTTATTGTTCAGTGTTCAACGTATCTCTTTATAACGTTTATACCTGGTGTTTTAATTAGTACTTATAATCAAAACAAAGCAGAAAGTTTCAGTGTACTTCTAAACCAATAATGGTAAAGCTGTTCCGTTTTAAATGAAAGACATAGTCAAAATATTGTGTTCACTGTATACATTACATTTCTTAAATATGTTTATAAGATTATTATATATAGGTTTGGGTTTTGTTTTGTTTTTAAATAAAAGATATTTGTCTTTTTCGAAATACCGCTAGTCCGAATGTTTTTTTATGAAGACAGAATTGTATTATTTCATACAAAATAGTTTTACTTTTAATAAATACATAGGTATCGGTTTATTTACCTTGATAATTACCTTTATTATTTGTTGAATCATTTACTATGATATTTTTTAACCTCTTCAAGTTCTACAGTTTTACATATGTAAATACATGTACATTGTACTTAAAACATGAAAGCATTGTAAGATAAACCTGCAGCACGTTTTATCGTAAGCAATTGCATCAATTATATCGGATTTATTGGATGATTTTAAGTCAAACTGTTTATTATTAAGTAATCAATATCATGAACATTTTTAAAAGGCAGCTATATATTTGTTAAATAAGACACATTGACCTCATAATTATGCACTGCTGATATTTTTACCCAGCGTGTTTAAGCCAGATGTAAATCATCAAATTGTTGTTATCGTGAGGCACATCCTTACAGCTTCTATGATATCATAAACATCAATGTAGTTTTTATGTAGCCTAGATTTGTGACGGGTTTTATGCTAGCTAGTTTGTATTGCATTATAAGGGTTTTAAAATTGAGTACAATAATATTACACCAGTCATTATTTAGACGTTGTCCTAAGTTTTCATCTTATGAGGTTGTTTATAGATTCACATTGTGCTGGTAAAATGTGAATGTACGGTAAAGAAAATAGAATTAATAGCTTACATTCCGCATGTGCAACAAATTTAAGTTTAATTGTTTCCTTTTTCTCACAGGTCAACATCTAATTCGGTATCGTAGAAATGTTTCTATACAGAAATGTTTCTATACGAGTTCTAACCTATACATAGACAGTAGATTTGCCGGAATATATTTGTTAAAATCAATTTTTATTATCCATATTTTTGCATCTTAGTGATTAGAACGTTAGAATTTATATTAAATATACTACATGTTTTCTGCGTTTGTCTTTCTTTACTCCCCAGTATGTCAATCTATGGAAGTCGTTACGAACGATATTTTTCAATATTATCGCTTCACGGCACCTGCACAATTAAAAATATCATTATTTATCCATCACTATGAAAATAACATTATAAATGGATATCATTGTGCCAAATTATCACATTAATATGCTTTTATGTTTGGGGTTATTATCCGAGCATGATCTTAATCAGTTTCTACCAGCTGAAAATTTATAGTACCATCGAAGAAAAAAATATCAGAGAAGAAGAAACCATGATTGCTTATTTCCAAGACTTGGGATTTTTGCATATAAATTTTGTTTAAACCGCGAGGATATTTAAAGACGTCGTTAATGGACTAAATTGTTTAACTGGCACGATTTTTTTTTTTTGCTTTTTACCTTACATTTGTAAAGAAAGCGGTCGCAATGTAGGCGCACGCTATTTAGAGAACGTAATCTTTAGAGAGTCGAGGATATGTCAAATTTCATTACCCCATTTACTGAATGTTAAAATACATCTCGTAACTAGATACCTTTACTATCTCAAGTTAGGTCTCTCGCCCAATAGTTATCCTAGTTATCGCAGTCATATCCTAAACTCTTTTATCATGTTGAAATAACCGTCCTTATTCTTTTTATATGTGACATAGACCGTAAATGTGACATATGAATGAAAGATGCAATTATTAATGTCGGTTAACAGGTGGAACTAATTGACCATTAATTTATCAAAAGTCACATAAAGATGAAGCATTACGCGAATATACAAACTGTTAATGACTGTTGTCTTCCTTATGATGAATGACAGCGCAAGCTAGACGGTCTCACTAAACCCCAAGCAAACGACGCACAGAGCAAGAGCGTTTGACTGAATAGGGCGATCGGGGTTCGATTCCCGGACGGTCCAGGTCACTTTCGTTGTGTTTGATCATGAAATCCTTTCAACGATCATTCGCACTGTACTTCTACTCTGGTATGTACAGAAGTTATCAGTTCACTGCGAAAGTGAAGGCAACTTTGAAGTACGCGTAAACTGCTTGACAGACTGACCAGGAACGATGTGGTGGCTGAACTGTGCTCTGGTAATTCAGTATGCTTACTTTCGCGATCAGGAGTGAAAACTACCTACACAACCGCACAAAGCATACATTATTAGGTATGTTTCACAAGAAACGCATGCAGACGAAACAAATCTGTGAAGGATATCAACGGGTACAATGTGTTTAAGTGCACACAAACGAGAAAGCAACATGGGTAAGAGCTGAAGTAATTAGCTGATCGCGTGTGCATTAAACACATTCAGTTAATATTTGTTATACATTGTATATGAATTGAACTCGGTAAAGAATTTCATGTTTTATTGCAGCAGCATATCGGATATTATAGTATGTCTACTACCTGGCCAGTCATAGCATGTCAGATGAAAAATTGCGGGTGGAAGATATTTGGCCTATTCCCACTGCTACACGAGGCGTCCGTGTTCAACAAATAACATTGGCCGTATGGCGGATAAAAACGCATAGTATTAAACAGTTAATACACGAAAAATAAAAAAATATAAGAAAAACACGTGGATTGAATTTAACGCTTGGAAAGGAAAACAAAAAAAATCCCCATTCATTGCACGTGTTAGTGTCCGAAATATCTTCCAAATCAAGAAGCAAAACTAGCACTCCGACTACACTACCTGTCCAGAGAAAAACGGTAAGCACAATATTGCCATATAAAACGCAATCAATGTACATGAAAGGCCTTTGTCCGATGAAATTTATTTTGTGCATGCAGAAAATCTTCCGCCCGATACACCTGCAATTAAGAGTAAACGAGACAGCTGATTCGCCTTAAGCAATGGATATACACAAAGTTAAATGTAGCTCCTAGCTCAGAGCTGTCAGAAAACTTCAATAACTCTGCATAATACAGTAACAATTAATGTCGTGGTAATTTATAGTATCTATGGATTGGTCATCTAAGATCTATAGATGAGTCAGGCAGGTTGTTGAAAATATTGGGTAATAATTAAAGTACAATCAACAATGTCAGTTTTCATTTTAGAGAAGATAGCTTTCTGATAAACATATACATGCAAATCGTCTGCAACAGCTAATCTGTGAAAGACTTAAATAAACGAGCCACAACAAGCGGGAACAATGTCAGTTATATCAAATGCGTTATTTTGTCAAAGTATGAAGACAATTCATTCAATTCATTAAATTTAAAGTTTTTGCCAGTTACAACACTTCAAGGTCAAGGTCATATATGAGTTAAGGTCAGTTTGGTTATCTTGAATAAGAATGAGGACAACCAATCATTAGAAGCCAAGTAGTTTGCATCGGACTAGTAATCTTGTAAGGGCAGTCCATGTGGTTACAAACTTAGGGAAGACGTTACTTGAGCAAGAAATACACACGTACATTGCTTAGTACTGGTTGGTTTCAGTTACACAGATTTTATATAAACTAATTTACTAGTATTCATTTATAACAAAGCTATTGTCAGTTACAGCAAAAATCAAGAAAACTACTATAATTTGATCTTCACGGAAATAGGTCGCGGCCATTTATGAGCAAAGGTCAAGTTCAGTCTGGTCTTTGTGAAGGGGTTGTACAAAGGGTTGTCGTGTCCAGGTACGAAAACAATCTATTAAGATGTAAAACGAATATGATCAGTGAGGGTGTAACATTAAATTTAGAAATGAATACATGGGCCATTTTCCAACGTTAAAAACCCTTGGTCATTTTCCATCATTTAAAATCGACTAACATTAAATTGGCAAACTCAATGACATCAGCGATAGCTTGACTTGTTTTAGTCTAAATAATAGAGCTAAATAATAATAATAATAATAATATCAATTGTATGTCCTTTATAAGAAGAGCACATTCTATACAGTTACGGATATAAGGTAAGCTATATACTTTCAATGCCAATCGTATATATAGAAAAACACAGTACATAATTATGTATTACATGTATTTGTATATGAATTAACACCATGTATATATGAAATGATTTTATTTCTTGTATGTATGTATGTATATATTCTTACGCATTAACTTTAGATCACAAGTATACATACAAGTATATATTTAATTGCTCCAAATTCGACAAAGCTTGGAAAATCCATTATGTTTATAAGGGTAAGATAAAACAGCAAATAATTTAAAGGTGCTAAGATGATGTGATTAATTAAGAAACTGTAGAAAGAATATCTTACGGATACCAGGGAGGTATCAGTCGTTGACGATAGTTTTGTTTTGTCCAAACATTACAAAGATATAGCCAATTTTAGCAAAATTCAATGATTTGCATTTGAAGGTCAAGCTCGTTTTAAAATCAAGGTCAAATTCAGTTTGTACTATACTTGAAGGTGCTATATAAAGGGTTGTATTGTCCAAGTATGAGGATAGTTCATTCACTTATGTCGGAATTGTAACCAATAACAGCAAAATTTAAGCAAAAAAAAAATAATTTGATCTATTAAAGGGCAATAACTTTATGTATGATCTGACCGGGACATGCCAATGATATCTCTTTTTGGTATTGATGGTTCCTATAAAGCTTCGTTGAAATCCGCTTAACAGTTACAGAGAAATAGTGCGGAAACTAATGTTAATCTGAATACAAATCAGGGGCCATAACTCTGAGTTGAATGGTCCTGCCCTGACTAACAAGTGAGATGCGCATCTCCTTTTTGCTCAAATAAAGTCTCATTGAAATCAAGTCATAACTTGCCGAGAAAAAGAAAAATTCGGACGGACGGATGGACAGACATTCTCCTTAAATCTGGGGTTATTTCGAGATAAATGTTCTATTTGATACAGGTCTAACTACACCCCTTGACTTGTGCTCGAAATTTCAGATCATTCGTTCCCTGTAACAATATGCCTTTAAAGTTACAACTGATGTTGTTGTTATTGTTGTTATTGGTTTATTTATATTCTACTGATTATACTCTAGAAGATATATTAATATATTTCTTTGCTATAGGAACGCCTCTTACTAGTGATTGGTTAATTGATTTCTGCGTTGATATTATCGATATACAATTCTCCTTTCGGGGAGAAGCGATAGAGAGATGGATTAAAACAGATCATAAAAATAAATGACCTGGGTTGTTGTCGTAGTTAGGGAAATAAACTTAGAAATGACTTTGTAGTTGTTGTTTAACTCCCATCTTGTTACATGGTGGCTTATTTACCTTTACCATATATTCCAACAGCAAACTTTATAATACCGGACAAACAGGACAGAAATATGCATGACCTTAACCTAGTTGCATCATACCAAGTAGAGAGTAATGCAATGATGATTAATAAAGCAAGAACAAAGTATGCTCTCCTTGATCACGACGAGTTTGAAAAATGCTCACACTCTAAGTGGTGTACTACAAAATCCCCAGTTTACCCCGTCAATCTTGCAAAATTATGTTTAATTAGTTTATTTTTAATGAATAATGACGCAGTTGAAAAGAACTGTGAAGTAACGGTTACTTTGGACAGGAAATTACCTATGGGAATTACTCTTTTTTCAAATCAATGGGCTATTGTGACTAGAGAAAACCTAACTTAATTTATAAACTAATTATACTTTTAACTGTAACATTATATAAACTAATTATTATGTCGTATGGATGTACAGCTCTGGTTCATTAGAGGAAAATAAACACGGTTTAACTAGGAAATATTATCGTTTTCATTGTACATTACGTTATTGTACTTTTAATTGTCGTAGAGGTTGAAGATTAAAACAAAACTGTTAGCCATGCATAAAGACTGGACAAAAAGAAATGGCAACCCAGGGTATAAAAAGGCAATTTTAACTTGTTTCGCCTCTTTTCCTTCATTCTCAAAATTTCTGAGAAAACGGTCATCAAAGTGATTTTACAGAATCTCACAATTGAAGAAAGAAATATCATAGTAAAATGCTGAGAACATCAACTTTAATCATAGCATAAACAAAGCAGTCCCCCTGACCAAATGCGAAAGGAAAATTAATGTTCGACAAACTTTGTTTAATCAACAACCAACACCGTGACGAACAATAGAGTAGTTAATAGTTCCTCATCTCAATGACTATCAAACAGATGTGATTGTTCACACCGTGATTTATTGTGGATTATTAAAAAATATAATCTTTAAAAGAATATACAGTTTTGCTGATTACATTGCTAATAGAATATTGGTGCTTTATTATTCCAAGAGGACTTCCATTGTTAGGACGCCAATAACTGGATTAATTTCCCGGAACTTTAGAACTTTAGTGACATATTTTTCTTCATATCATATGTGTCTATGATTAATCTTCGGAATCATTATTCTTAAGTTGAGTCGTTCAAAGAAAAATATCTTGATTAATTCTCTACTTGTAAATTGACTCAGTTAAAAAATATCATCATAAATCAAAGATCCGTAGAGAATAACTAAGTATTTGAAAAGGTGTCATGTGTATGACATTCTTTTAAACTAAAATAATGTCTTAAGTGAGGGGCGAATCTGTAACAATATGCCTTTACATAACTGATTTGTTGTTACTGTTATTCCCTGCGGTCTGGAACCGCAGGGTTATTTACGCGTATAACTTATTGATGGCATGGAGGAGCACGCTAGACCTGTTTTCGGTACTTGGAGGAGGTGATCTGTAAAACACGATTGAATTGACCTTTTCGAAACTGGCTAAATCCGGTTGTCGGTACGCGTTAAAATTATCATTGTATCTAAAAAAAACTTTTGATATTTCTAATTTTTCTAAACAACCGGTTTAAAAAAACTTGAATGGATGTTTGAAATTATCTTGTATCTCAAACAAACAATAAATTGTTTATACAAAATTTAAACAAGGAAACAAGGAACATCGCAAGCGATGCAACCAGGTTTTCAAGGCAAAATATTTCAGCAGAAGCTTGTCATTGAAGGGGCATTTGTTTTTTAATTGAACTTTTAGGAGGAATTATGGCTTTTTTAATATTCCTCAAACAAAAATTGAAAATTGAGAAATTTTATGTTGTCTATTCAGCCTTTTTTTTCCCAAAAATGTTTTGAAAAAAGGTAAACATCTTTATTTTTGCTTAATTTTTGCGTCCTTGTCATTTTCTTTTTTTCAAACAAATATTGGCGTGTGGTGTTTTTGGTGCGATATCAAGAAAAGTATGTTCACAATTTTAAAAAAAATACTTGAATGATGTCTTGGAAGAAACATGGGAATATAGTGAGCGCCAGGGCACTTGATGACAAAGCTTCTGTGAAAGTTTGGTCAAAATCCATTGAGAAATGTAGAGAAGTTGCGCACTGTAGAAATTGTTCACTATATATTCTGTATAAGGAAAAAATATACAAAGGGCCATAATTCGGTCAAATATTATCCAATCAACAAAACCCCGACAATATGTGCCAGGCACTGATAAACAAAGCTTCTAAGAAAGTTTGGTCAAAATCCGTTGAGAAATGAAGGAGGAGTTGAGCACAGAAGAAATTGTTCTCTATATATTCTGTATAAGGAAAAAATATACAAAGGGCCATATGCGGTCAAATATTATCCAATACAAAACCCCGACAATATGTGCCAGCACTTGATACAAAACAGCTTCTAAGAAAGTTTGGTCAAAATCCGTTGAGAAATGTAGGAGGAGTTGCGCACAGAAGAAATTGTTCACTATATATTGTATATAAGGATAAAAACAAAGGGCCATAATTAGGTCAAATATATACCATTGCAAACCCTGGCAATATGTGTCAGGGCACTTGATGACAAAGCTTCTGAGAAAGTTTGGTCAAAATCCGTTGAGAAATGTAGGGAGTTGCGCACAGAAGAAATTGTTCACTATATATTTGATATAGTAGGAAAAAAAACAAAGGGCCATAATTAGGTCATAATATTATCTAATCGCAAAACCCACCGACAATATGCGCCAGGGCACTTGATGAAAGGCTTCTGTGATAAAAAAACCTTGGTCAAAATTCCTGACAAATGTAGGAGGAGTTGCGCACAGAAGAAATTGTTTACGCCCACCCGCCCGCCGACATACCTCAATCTAATAACCAGTTTTTTCCTTCGGAAAACCTGGTTAAATAGTCGTAGTGGCATCTGCCAATAATAAAAAGAGATATTTTCTGCGTAAATTTGTGTGTTTACTTTATTTTATTTTTTTTTGCTTGGAATTATTCATAAAGAATGGTAGGCTTATTTAATCATTTTCTTTTAAAAAAGAAATAATTGTTTAATGTTCGACCTTCTCCTGTCATCAACGGTCACCAGTTTCCAAAGACCTTCTTCTATTTTGATCGATTATTGTCAACTATATTCCTGATACAAACGTTTATTTATTCCCCTCTCCCAAAACAATGTTGAAAATAGTTAAATGAAATATCTTTATATCATTCCCCGCAGGAAACCATTTTACTTGTTTATATTCTACTGATTATACTCTAGAAGATATATTAATATATTTCTTGGCTATAGGAACGCCCCCTTACTAGTGATTGGTTAATTGATTTCTGCGTTGATATTGTCGATATACAATTCTCCTTTCGGGGAGAAGCGATAGCGAGATGGATTAGAACATATCATAAAAATAAATGACCTGGGTTGTTGTCGTAGTTAGGGAAATAAACTTAGAAATGACTTTGTATTTGTTGTTTAACTCCCATCCTGTTACATGGGGGTTAATTTATACACTGTGCCGTTCTACAGAAATTAGAAACTTCGACATACTTAATGTCAAGCTTTATTTAGTTTCATTAATATTCAGAAGAAAATGCATATCGTATTTATAATATTGTTAAAATCTAAGCTATGCCTTCTGTAATGATCCCAAAATATTATTTATTATCGTGTCAGTAAACGACTGGTACAATTACCATTTTAGTAAATGAATAATAATGTCATAACTTGAAAAATACTGTTCTATTTTAGACGATGACTTGCAAATATTTGAATAATTATGGCTGTTCTATTTTTGACGATGCCTTGCAAAAATATGATTTATTACTGCACTTGTAAATGACCGTTCTATTTTTGATGATGACTTGCAAATATTTGATTAATTACTGTTCTAGCAAATGACCGTTCCATTTTTGACGATGACTTACAAAAGTATTTGATTAATTACCGTTCTAATAAATGACCGTTCTATTTTTGATGATGACTTGCAAATATGTGATTTATTACTGCACTTGTAAATGACCGTTCTATTTTTGATGATGACTTGCAAATATTTGATTAATTACTATTCTAGCAAATGACTGTTCTATTTTTGACGATGACTTGCAAATATTTGATTCATTACTGCACTTGTAAATGACCGTTCTATTTTTGAGATGACTTACAAAATTATGATTAATTACTGTTAAGAAAATGACCGTTCTATTTTTAACGATGACTTGGAAATATTTGACTAATTACTGTTTAAGTAAATGACCGTTCCATTTTTGGCGATGACTTACAAAAGTATTTGATAAATTACCGTTCTAATAAATGACCGTTCAATTGGACGATGACTTACCAAAAATATTTGATTTATTACTGTTCTTATAAATGAACGGTCTATTTTTTGACGATGACTTACAAAAGTATTTGATTAATTACCGTTCTAATAAATGACCGTTCTATTTTTGACGATGACTTGCAAAAATTTGATTAATTACCGTTCTAATTAATGACCGTTCTATTTTTGACGATGACTTGCAAATATTTGATTAATTACCCCTGTTCTATTTTAGACGACTTGCAAATATTTGATTACCATTCTAGTAAATGACTCTTAATTTAGACGATGACTTGCAAAACTATTTAATTACCGTTGTGATAAATGACTGTTCTTTTTTAGCCGACCACATCAAATATGTTTTATTGGTTACCAATAAAATAATACATTTAAGAATTGAGGCATTTGTTTTTAATGATAACAACTAGTTACTTCTTTCTTATGATTCATAATCATATGTTTTCCACGTTTTAGATCCATATGAGACGAGTTGGAAACCAAGTAAATTTATTCCTATTCAATCACACAGCAACATAAATAACAAACTCAACATAACATCAACAGTTTAATGTTAAAGTTCAGTTTAACTACATGACATGTTCTTATATATGGTTTATAACATTACATAATAAGTGTCAATTTTAAAATTAAAATATTTTTCCATTAAAACATTTTAAATATGTTAATCGACATACAATATATGTTTACTGTTTATTTTTCATGATGGATTGGCACAGCTCTTGTTGGATTTCAATATCAAAGTACAAATAATAAGTTACCAACAGTATAGAGCCTGGTCAGATTGTACAAAAGTGCAGGCTGGCCTGGCTCTATACTGGTTGAAAAGACTTATCACTTATAGTTCCAGCATGACAAATACGACCTAGAAGTACAAAATAATATATATTCCTTTCATGTACTGTTAAGTTCACCTGTTAAGTGTATTTATTTTGAGAAATAGTTACATAGTACATAAGGTATGAACATAGTATTTACGGTATTTACAAGAAACAATTCTTAACCTTATAACAATAACAAATATGTTACAAACTAAACTATTATAACAGTAAAAGCAACAAATGTAACATTTAAGGCACATTTCATCATCATAAAAAATAAACACACAAGAGGTGGTAATACCAGCACTATAAATTTTTGAGTATTAAAAATCCAATTAACACATTGAGGGGGGTAATACCAGCAATATGGACTGTTGAGTATTGAAGAAACCAATGAACACATACTCAGGGGGTAAGGGGGGTAATACCAGCAATATGGACTGTTGAGTATTGAAGAAACCAATGACCACATACATGGTGGTTTCACAAGTAAAATGGACGGCAGAATACTGAAGGTTCAAGATATCGATGAACACATGACAAATAGATTAAACAGCAATATGTACAGTTGAGTTTTAAAAAATTGTGATTAAAACAACAGGGGAAGTATCAGAAACCTTGACTATTATGTTTTGACCATAATGGTTTTGATAGTTGCCGAGGTATATTGACGATTAATAACTGAGCATGATGCACAGGACTGGTGACAGGAACAGTTAATCTACCTAAATATTTGTTTCTCTATTTTCAAAAACACATGTTTTTAATAAAAATATTGTTCTAATTCAGCGTTTCATGTTCTGGCACGCCAAGATTTTCAGCAAGCTTTCCTTGTTGCTTTTCAAAAATCAAAACAACCAAAAAATATAACAATAAACTGAGTTTTGTCACCAAAGCTTACAAATCTCAAGAATAAATCTCAAGGAAAAACACCAACAATAAACTGAGTTTTGTCACCAAAGCTTACAAATCTCAAGAAAAAAAGCTCAAGGAAAACACCAAACTAAGGGAAAACACCATACTAAGTCAACAAAATGTGGAGAAACAATATCTAACTTTCAGTCCAAGCCTTTTCTATGTTAAGATGTGCCATGTTTTCATGATATTCAGTTTTTATAATGTGGAATGCTGTATGAAGTAATGTTCCCTGAGAAAAGTGCAATCTTGTAAACAGCACATCACTCCATGCTAACTATTTCTGCCACCAGTGCAAGATTATAAGGTAATTTGTCTTTTGTGACCTGTGCAACACCATGAGGTAACTAGTTTTTTTACCAGTGCAAAAGTGTATGAGGTGACTGATGTTGTTTTTTAATGACATCATGCAATCCTGTGACTCTAATTCAGTTACACTTAAGGTGGAACAACTGTTTGTATTCAGTTCTCAACAACCATCATTGTATCCACTTCGATACAACATAAGGTAAACCATCACTGTATCCAGTTCAACACTGTATTAGGTAAAGTTTCGCTGTCTCAAGGTCAACACTATATAATATAAGGGAACAATTCACTGTGACTTCTTCAACACTTTATAAAAATTCACTGACTGTTCAATTCAACACTATTATCAGGTAGTGGTTTCTTGCTACAAGAGGAACACAATATGGTAACTATTTCTTGTGTGTAGTTCAATACTACATTAGGTTTCAATTAACTGTGACTAGTTTAACACTCACTATACTGGGTTACTATCCCTATATCAACACTATATCACATAATCATTACCTGCAACTACTGCAACACTGTGATATAACACTCGTTTTTTTTTGCAGTTAGTGCAATATTGTATTAAACAAACTGTCTGAGGTAATCATTTGATTGGTTAAAATTGTAATAAAACAACAACAAACTGTTGTTTTAAGAGATCTTTAAAAAAGAATTGTCACCGTAATTTTCATATTCTCACAATATCCCTGAGTTTCTATCTATGCTGCATACACATCTTGATCATTATTCTTTATTCTTCCTCTGTCTAATACAAACATTATCACATTTAAATTATCTATAAGCTTGTTATGTAGGGGCGCATAACTCAATTTTCATCCATACAAAGTCCATCAGTTTATTCATTCTTCTTCTGTTTCAACTGTCCTAAGTAATGGGCTCTTTCTGAAATGAGCAATTTAAAAAGAAATCACAAATAGTCAGAGCATAGTTGGTGTATTAATCTTTAGCCTGCTGGTAGCAACCAATTCTTCCCATGTGACACGTGCAGATTTAGATTAGCAGGCACATCTGAAATTTAAATTTTTTCCCTGAAATGGGTGAATGGTTTTGTCCAGATTGAAATATGGACAAGTCCATTTCAGTTATTTGGAGTGGTATAGGATAAATAGCAGATGAACACAGTCTTAGTATCACAATTAACTATCTTGTCTATATTGTACTGACCTCCAGCTGTATATAAAATACTGATGGATGGCCACCCCTCACAAAAAATGAAAATTTATTACTTTGCTTAAATTAAGTTGTTTTTTTAGGGTTTTTTTTCTAATTTACTCAAATAACATCAACCTAATGTTTGGTATATAGATAATATTGTTGTTCTGGCAAAATGCATTACAAAAGAAGGTATTTACTGTGAACAAAATGAATAGTTATTCTTATTATTAAAGAAGTTCTTCAATATTATTTTTTAACACAATCAAATTACAAACTTGACTTGACATGGCAATATTTGTAGCCTTTTTCAAACAACACATTTGTTTAACCAACCTTCTATGCTTTGTTGTTCTTTTTGATTGGAAGTTTGTTGTGGCCCTGACTTTTTGCTCAATGCTTCTGCACTATTTAAAATATCTGAAATATCATAACAAATGCATTAATCTTGTATTACAGTAGTGATATATTTTTAAATTGGAATTTCAATTTTGTATAATACCCTTTTATTATCATATTTAAGTAAATCTGGGATTTTAAAATTAATTGGTATAATTTAAAAAATTTTTAAAATCAAACAGGAAAAACTGTACATTTATTATTTTTCAATTTGGAAAAAACGTATTTTTTAATTATCTTTTAAAAATGTCTTTATACATTATCTGGAAATTCCCCGTATCTATATATCAATCTGAAAAATTCTTATATAAAACAATTCTCTGGAATTAGTGTATTTATTAAGTAATTTGATATAACTGTATTTAATATCATGGCAAACTTTTATCACTTTTTCTTGAAATAAAATATATGCTTAATGACTATATAAAAATACCTTTGTTTATCATCATCATTCCTCTCAGGTAACTTTTCTCTGCCAAAAGCATTATATCCAATCCAACTGCAAACAAACATATGCATGTATTTTAATTTGTATTAAAATCTATGTAATGTAAAAACCAAGAAAACACATTCAAATGCATTATCAAAATCTATAAAACTTCAAGACTCATTTAAAGAATTTAAAATCTACGTTACACATATTTCAAGCCCTCATTTCACCTGTTATTTCTGCTTTGAACTACACAAAGCTTAAAAGTCTTTTCAATTAGGCTTAAACTAATCATGAAACTTATCATGAAATCAACAAACACCAGGTTTAAAGGTTACAAAGATTTTTTCTAAGCTCAAACTTGAATCTCAGGTATTTGATTGGTCAGAAACCAACCCAAAATGTATATTGACCAATAAAACTCCTTCCTGTGATTTAAGACAGAAGTTTTATAACCTTGAGGCCAGATATTGTCTGGAAGAATACTAAAAAAAATGACAAGTATATATAATAATATTGCTATATTTTACAAAATAATTGCCATATAAATGACTAAACTTACCATCACCAGTTTTTATGTTGTCCAAAGCACAAAGTTCTTTATAAAGGGCAAGCTTCCGTAGCTCTGTTGATGCTTCATGCACTGCTGTCTTCAATGTTTGCCTTGAAAAAGCTTCACTGGCTGAATTGGACTCTTCCTTTAAAGCATGCTGCTTTAAGTTAAAATCTGACTTGACTGGTTCCTGCACAACTGACATTTCAATCTCTCCATGCACTGTAGGAGAATTCACATTTTTTCCCCATTCTTTATTACTTTCTAACTGACAAGGAGCTTTCTGTACCGTCTGAGAAATTTCTTTCGCCTGGGATATGTTTACCGACTGGGACATGTTTACGGGGACACTTGTCTGGCCATTGCTGATAACGGGTAGATTACTTTGATTTCTCACACTGGTGTGCCCATCATTTATTTCTGCTGGATACTTTTCATTCACAAGTTTTGCAGTCAATGCATTGAGCATTGGTGTATTTGAAACATTTTGTATGGATGAAGCAACATAACCTTCCTGCCCTGAAATTGTGTTCCTTTGATGAATGACAGTCTTAAATTGTTGAAGCCCAGAATTTTGTAACAACCGGTTTGAGTGTTGATCCTTTTGAGTCTCATAATTGCATGGTTGGATTTGTTGAGACTGATGTACCCTTTGCTTTGTAAATGAACATGGCTCCTGGGAATGCTCTACTGAATTATGATTAATAACTTGGGACTTGGTAGTCTGTGCATCATTCCAAGGCTGAAAGAACTGTGTTGGAGTCCTTTGCATATTAAGATTTTCCTCACAACTTTTGGTATCTGTAGTGCAAGTTGTTGCAATTTGTATTGAAAGTTTTGTAACTTTAGACTCAGCATTAGAACTGTCATTTCTGAACTCTAACTCATGTTGGAAAGCATTTTGTGACATTAAGTTTGTAGGAACCTTAACATTTGTTTTGGCTTTCTTTAACCATTCAGTAGTTTTTGTTTGTTTAGATGGGGTTAATTCAGAGCCACTTGAAATCAAATCTGCATCATCATTGTCATCACTAAGTATTTCTCCAGTATTTTCTGTCTTTTGATATTTGCTGTGTGGAATGTCTCTCATTTCTTCTTCACTTCTATTTATTTCATTAAGTTCAGTGTCCGTTTCTTCTTCTATTTTCTTTCCCAAAATATTAAGCTGAGATGTGAATCTCTTACGAACTGCATTTTTCGCAAGTCTATTTGGTAAATTTGATCTTCTAGTGCTTTCATTTACATCACTTCTATTAAAATCAGTAAGTTCATTTTCATTACCTTTAGTCAATTCATCTTCATTTATTGTCTTAGTATTAGTAATAGAGTCTCCAACAACACGTTCTGTAATATAACATCTATCTGAAGCATTTTCTAAATGATTACCTTTGTTAACAACACTCTTATCATCACCATCTAATACATTTCCATTTCCAATTACAATTTTACTATCATATTTGACACAATTGTGGATTATAACAGAATCATCACTGTACTTAGTTTTAGGACAGGTTTCACTACATTTCATATTTATTTCAGAGTCAGATATTATACTTTCATTTTTCTCTTCAGCAGAAACATCATTCATAAACGCAAAACCCATCAATTGTATAGGTTCAATATCATCCATGTCAGAATCACTGTCTTGGTAAGTAGTGTCCTCTTCAAGTTCCCTTAATAAATAATTTCCATCATCATTATTTTGTTCCATCTCATTATCCACTTTTTCACAAAGATTTTCAGAATTTTTCATTTTATCATTTACTGCATCAAAACTATATGCTTTAAAAATGTTTTGTCTATTGTCCGTCAATTCATTTGCACTATTCTTACTTTTATTTTCTCCAATTGTCTTAATTCCTATTTTCTTATTTTCTTCAGCACTATTTTCCAAATGTTTTACAACACTTCCTATTACGTCACAATCAGCATCTTTAACATTTGGCACCAGTGTTTCACTTTCTTTAGATGTACAATTATCCCCAAATGAGTGTTTCAAATTTCCAGAGCTAGCTTCTACAGATGTGTTTCTAACAGGAGATTCAGCCAATTTATCGTTTAATCTCTGTGTATCATTATTTTTGATTTCATTTGTTTGTATGTTTTCTAATTTTGCTGTTTTTTCCACTTCCTTTGCTTTTTCATTTGAAAGAATATTTTTTCTATGTTTGTCTTTAAAAAGTCTTTTAACTTTAGCACTAACTATATTTTGAACTTTAGGAACTTTTTCTTCACAAGTAACTTCTGTTTCATTCTGTTTTTCAGACAAATTAAGAACACCCTGTTTTTCAGTCAAGTTTTCAACTTCTGATGACTTACTATTACTCAACAAATTAAGATTACTGCTATGTTCTTGCATAACAATTTCTGAGCAACCTTTTGTTTCTTTTTCCTTTAAAACTTCTTTAACAGATTCAAACAACATTTCAGAACTAATTATTTTTGCTTCACTTTTATCATGTTTCTCAGATTTATCATTTTTTAATTTATTCACCTCCTCATCACAACCAGTACTAATATCTTTAGTTTTGTCTGCCTTTACATCTGCACTTTTTTCACGTTTGGAAGCATCTGAAGATGAGAAGTTCATTTCATCATATACTTTGTGTGCACTTTTACTAGCTTTAGGTGTTGATCTATTGTCAAGTAAATCACCTTCAACTTTTCTTTTATTTGATTTAGACTTTGAATTTGATTTTTGGTGCTGTAGGTTATTCTCTGCAACTTTTCTATCACTTTGATCATCCGCTTTAATACTGTTTGGAAAGTTTTGGTCATAAGTTTCTTCTGAACCAACTAAATTACTACCTTTTGTAGACTTCTCAGATATGGTATCATCTTTTTTTCTCTTTTTTCCAATTGTATGAATTGTAGAATCCTCATGTACCCTTTTCACCACAGGTCTGTTTTTACCATCATTTACCTTCTTACCTACATTTCTGTCAAAAGTATTTTCTTCCATTTTCTCAAAAATATTATCTATTGGAGACAGCACAGCTGGAGATTCTGAGGGTTTTGTCCTACTGTTGGAAGTTTCATTTGAATTCTCATTAATCCTAGAAGATTCCTCCTGCACATTTATATTTTTTATCTGTTTAGACACTGGACTGCGGTTGGAATATTTGTTAATTGGAAATTGCTTAAATGGGTGTTTTTGCCTTTTCACTGGACTCTCTCTTATAAATGATCTGAGCAGTTTCTTTTTATTCTCATGACTTATTTTGGGTCTTTTTGCGGGGCTCTCTTTCATCAATGGATTAGTCAGTTTTGTTTTATAATCATTATTAGTTTCCAGTGGACTCTTTGTTAGGCATGTACTGAACAGGTTTGTTCGATTCTCATCACTTGTTTTTACAGACTTGGCATCTTTATCATTGAAGTGAGAAATTCTCCTTTTGTTCTTCCCAAAAAGATTTCTCTTAGGTCCTGTGTCAGCTGCTTCACCTGATTTTACATTCTTTTCAGGCTCTCTAGAACCAATATCTTCATCATTCACTTCTGTTTGTAAAGCAGTCTCTACTTCTTTGATAGGTTCTGTCTGGTCTTTTACCTTTGTGTTATCAAAATCAGGCACTTGTGGAGCTGACACTTGTTTAGCTGGTGGAGTAAGCTTGCGTTTCTCTGTGGGTTTTCCAAGTGGGATATACACGCCAAAACTTGGTCTGTTTGTGGTTCCTGTAAAAAGAACAATTCTGCTCATGCACTCAGATCAAATACAATTTATGAGTGTTTAACTGTATTCATTAATGTTTAACTGCTTGCTCTTGATACATCTATAACTTTGATTTTTTTATAACAATTCCAGTTCTAGTTAAATGCTATAAACAGACCTTTATTCATACTATTAAATGTAATGCTGATAATGAGGACACTTTATTAAGGGTGTCTTACTTTTAAAGAGGGTAATAATATTATTTAAACTAAAACTGCTACTATCCTGAATGAGCTAAACTGTCATAAGGATATTATGACAGTTAATGATGATATTGTTTACATTATAATAACTGACTAAAAGATACATGTAAGCTTTAGTAAGGCAAAAGTATGAAGAGTTACAAAGGGTAATAACTCATTGCTCTTCTCCTAAATGAAATCTACCAAGCTAAGAAGTTTTAAATTATAATGTCAGTACTTTTTAGTTATGCTCCAGGCAATAAAACTAAGTTAAGAATGAAAAATTAAAAAGGGCAAAAGAGAGTTATGGTTCTTATACATTTTTAATTTCCATAAGATCTCTCTATAGATATAATATAGATATAATGAAGTTTTAAGTTGATTCCACATATACTCTTCAGTTATGCTGCAGATTATAAAATTAACTAAAAAAATATGGAAAAAGAGTTATGGTTCTTAAGCACTGCATCATTCAATTATGTGATCTCTGAAGTTCATATCTCCTATACTTTTGTGTTGTGACTTGAAAAATAATCAGAACATAAAAAAATTACAAAATACAATAACTCTAAAATTATGCAAACAATGTTTTTTCAGCACTGCACAACTTCTCAATGAGATATTCTTTCATCTATAAAGTCTCAAGATGATTTTAATACTGTTTGAGTTTTACCCTGAACAAAAAAATTCTAACATGCTTCACACTATTCGCCTATCAAACAGATAAGGCTGTCAAGTGCATTATTAAATTTATTATACGATACAAGCAAATTTGTTGAATTTATATCCCCCGCCAAGTACTGGATATTACTAGCACAACAACTGGAGACATAATGCTTTCTTTATTTATTTATCATAAAGAAAACAGTAATATTCTTTGTACATGATAAAAATTCAGGGCAATAACAGAGGCCATAACTAAGTGTTAAAAAGTATTATCTGGACTTGCCAATGAGATGCAAAGTGCCTTTTTGTATTGATGGGTCCCATAAACTTTTGTTGAAATCAAGTAATGCAAAGAAATAGCAAAATTGCTCTACATGCATACTACATAACTAATCATGGGCCATAACTCTGTGTTGAAGAGTCTGACCTGACCAAGACAAGGATACGCACATCTCCTCTTTGTATCAATGGCTTCCATAAAGTTTAATTGAATTCCAGCCAGTTGTTGCAGAGAAACCGCGCGGAAACAATTATTGCTCTATATGCATACTGCATAACTAATTAAGGGCCATAACTCTGTGATGAAGGGTCTGTCCGGAACACGGTGACGATATGAGCATCTCATCTTGGTATTGATGGTTCCCATAAAGTTTGGTTGAATTCCAGCCAGTAGTTGCAGAGAAGTAGCGCAGAAACGATGATTGCTCTATCTGCATAACTTATCAAGGGCCATAACTATGTGTTGAAGGGTCAGACAGTAACAAGGCTACAATATCCGCATCTCATCTAGATATAGATGGTTCCCGTAATGTTTCATTGAATTCCAGCCAGTACTTGCAGAGAAGTTGTGAGGAAACAAATTCAGACCGACGTTGGTCAAAACAATATCCCTCTTCCGATGTCTTCTGGGGGGGGGGGGGGGGGGGGGGGGGGGGTAATAAGCACAGCACTAAACACAACGCTTACATGCCATATGACATCAAATATGACATTTATAAACCAAATGACGTCAGGACAATTACTTTAAACGCTCAATGTAGTTAAGCATATTTTTATCAGAATGAAAATAGATATTAATTTTTCTTGCATTATAATAAAATAATGCCCGGTTTATCGTTCATATGCTTTGTAATCAATAATTACATTAAATTATATTCTTGCCCATTTGAACTTGAACCATGCATTTTTCTACAATGCACTCAAAATTGGTATGGTATCTATTTCCTAAGTAAGTTCAAGGGCAATAACTCCAAACTAATGCAAAAGAGAGTTATTAATTTTGAGTGCTCCACTTCTTTGTAACATGTATATATTTATTAATTTTCAAGTTGATACCATTTAGTTATGCTTCAGAAAAAAAAAAGACAAAAAAAAAAGACAAACAAGCAATTATCATAGTATTGCAAGCAATCCATAAGTCCCCTACCGGTAAGAGCCCAAGCAACATTCTGAAGGGCCATTGGCCATTCACTTAGGTTCCTATTTTAAGTAAATTTGTTGAAAAAGTTCTTTTAAAGTGATCACAGGAAACAGTTTTTATGTACAGACAGACGGACTGAAGGACACTCTAAAGTTATTTTTTAAACATCCCTGTTATCAAAATATAACATTTTTAAAATCCTATCATGATTGAAGAAGTTGGAGTAAAAATTACCAATTTCTCAAAAAAAAAGTCTAAGTTCAAAAGGGGCATAATTCTGGAAATAGTCTTGCTAGAGTATTGAACACTCACAAATGTTGAGTGATAATAAGAAACATTTATATGAAGTTTGAAGTAGATACATTCAGAAAAAGAAGTTATTAAAAAAAACAATGTTTTTTACATGAAAATTTTAAGTTCAAGGGAGGTAACTCTGATAAATTTTATGCTAGAGGTGTAAACCTTGTCACATATGATGTGGTTGATGACAAGCAACTTATATTTAAAGTTTGAAGAAAATACCTTATGAAATAAAGAACTTATAGTGAAAAAACTTAAAAACTAGAATCAGAAATCTTGAAATTCAGTCTATTTGTTGCCATAGCAACCAGAATTTTCAACATAGGAAGATAAGAAAAGGATGTGCATAATTTCCATACTGCCATCTACCCATATGTCAAGTTTCATAAACATATTTTCAGTACTTTTTGTGTTATCACTGGATCCAGGTTATGTGTAAAATTTGCCATATTTTCAGTCTATTTGTTGCCATAGCAACCAGAATTTTCAACATAGGAAGAAAATAAAAAGACGTGCATAATCTCCATACTGCCATCTATCCATATATCAAGTTTCATTAAACTATTTTCAGTACTTTTTGCGTTATCGCGGGATCCAGTTTTGTGGACGGACGGACTGACGGACGGACGGACGGACGGACGGACAGACAGACAGACAGACAGACGGACGGAGGGTAAACCTAAAGTCCCCTCCGGTTAACCGGTAGGGGACTAAAAAAGTATAAAAATTACAATCGGCAATAATTCCAGAATTATATAAAAGAGAGTTATGGTTCTAAAATACTGCATCATTCCGATATGTGATCTATTAATCAATGAAGCTCCAAGTTAATATCTCCATAACTTTTTTTGAGTTATGCTCGAGACAATAACCTAAGTATGAAAAATTTTAAAATGGCAATAATTTTAAATTATACAATTAAGAGTTTTGGTTCTTGGACACCGACCTCCTCAGTGAGTTCTATCCATTATAAAGTTTCAAAATGATATACAGTTTTTGAGTTAGGCCTTAGACAAACATAACTTGTTGGAAGATAAACTAATTATATACTTAAGTAATAATAGCTCAATAAAATAAAAAATAAAATTCTGCATATAATTATGGTAATAGAAAAACAGCTCACAGTTTATGAATAATAATTTCTCTGCCTTAGATATACATCTACACCATTCATGCAGATAAGCAAGGTTTGCTTGTGTTTCGCCTTGCCCAAGGATTAAACCAAATCCAATATTTCCCCCATTAAGCTTAGCAGATGGACACAGTTCCCCAAAGTTTCTGAAGTAATTCAAGTTAAATTCACAAAAATTTTGAAGACTACATTTATAACTATAGTGTTTCAATAGACATACATGCATAAATCAATAAATTGAAATTGCAACAACTACTGAACTAGGCTTAACGAACATGACAATCAGATATTTATTAACTGGCATACCTTTCACTATAATTGGTGGTGCTGATTCACTACCATGACGTTTTCTTGTGCTAGGTTGGTCTCCGATGCTAGAATTTCTTCTTTCTTTTGAATATCTATTTTCTGCAACACCAGAAAGTCTACGTCCTCTTGAATCTTGACTTTCTCCAATTTCAAATGACCTCCTTTCTTTTGGCATTTTTTTCCCAACAATGTCAGAAAAGTTTCCTTCCATTAAATTGCTGTTTTCTATAATTCCAGACAACTTTCGTTCTCTTGAATCATTACTTTTGACAGCTTCTGGTGACTTTCCAACACCAGACATTCTTCTTTCTCTTGAATCATTACTTTTAACAGCTTCTGGTGACTTTCCAACACCAGACATTTTTCTTTCTCTTAAATCGTTATTACCTTTAATAGCTTCAAGTGACTTTCCAACTCCAGACAACCTTCTTTCTCTTGAATCATTACCTTTAACAGTTGCCGGTGACTTTCCAACATCAGACAACCTTCTTTCTCTTGAATCATTACTTTTAACAGCTTCTGGTGACTTTCCAACTCCAGACAACCTTCTTTCTCTTGAATCATTACCTTTAACAGCTGTCGGCGACTTTCCAACACCAGACATTCTTCTTTCTCTTGAATCATTACTTTTAACAGCTTCTGGTGACTTTCCAACACCAGACATTCTTCTTTCTCTTGAATCATTACTTTTAACAGCTTCTGGTGACTTTACAACACCAGACATTCTTCTTTCTCTTGAATCATTACTTTTAACAGCTTCTGGTGACTTTACAACACCAGACATTCTTCTTTCTCTTGAATCATTACCTTTAGCAGCTTTTGGTGACTCTCCACCACCAGATTTTTTTCTGTCTCTTGCTTTACTTTCAACATCTTTATACCTTATTTCTTTGGAAATTGAACTATTATTTTCAATAGCTTCAGATAGCATTTTTTCCTTTTTATCACTTGTTTTGGCTTCCAACTGATTTCCTTCTGTCAGATTTTCAAAATCGTCCATGCCAGACATCTTTCTTTCTCTTGAAGTAGTATTTTCAACAACTCTAGATATTTTCCCATCCTTATTGTGACTTTCATTCATTCTGGACATTTTTCTTTCTTTCAAATTGTCATTTCCTTCAACAGTAGACTTCTTTTTTTCTTTAACATTACCATCTTCTATGACACCTGGCATCTTTCTCTCCTTTAATTTTATATTTCCAGCACTTCCAGAAATTCTTAATTCTTTTAAATTATTACTATCTGCAGTTATACTCTCTTTTAAATTTCTATCTTCATTGTCACCAGACAACATATGTTGTTTTATATATTCATCTTCTTTTACACTAGATATATTTTTGTCTTTTGAATAGCCTGACATTTTCTTTTCCTTTATTTTGCCATTTCTATCCTCTCCAAACATTCCTCTTTCATTAGAATTGTCATTATCTTTGACCCCAGACATTTTCATTTCCATAACTTTGCTCTCATCGTTAACACCAGGCTTCCTTCTTTCTTTTAAATTGCCACTGTCTTTGACACTGGATAATTGTCTTTCTTTTAAACTGACTTTGTCTTTAACATTAGACATTTTTTCATTAAAATTGTCATCTTTTTTTACATAAGACACTCTATTTTCTTCAAAATTGACATCACCTTTGGAACCTGAAATTCTTTGTTCCTTCACATTGTTATTTTCTTTGACACTGGCCTTTTTGTTTTCCTTTAAGTTGCTACCTTCTTTGATATCAGAGATTTTTCTTTCTTTTGAATAGCTATTTTCTTGGACATCGGGCAATTCCCTTTCTTTAAAACTGCCATCTTTATTGACTTTTTTTTCCCTTTCTTTAGAGGTATTTCTTTCATTAAGTCCTGATAATTTTCTTTTCTTATGACTTTCTTTCACTCTAGAATGACCTGATTTATGAGATTCTTTTCTCTCCTTAACACTAGAATGTTGTATTTCTTTTAAACCTTTGATTTCTGAAACTTTTGATTGTTTTTGTTTACTTTTCATAACATCCATGAAGACATTTTTTCTTGAATCATTACTAGATTCTAAATCTACAGAATTTTTATTAGATATTTTGATAGCAGAAACACTTTTTCCCTTTGAATTGTTATTACTTTTCAAGTCTTCACAAATTCTTCCTTCAGCATTGTTAAAGTTATCAACAATTTCAGAAACACTTTTTCTCTTTGAATCATCACTTGATTCTTTGTCTGAAAGACTGACCGATTTATTTGAAGGTGGACTCATCTGTTGTGAAAATTTGCCTACATCAATTCTATTAAGAGATACACTTAGTGTTTTGTCCATATGATTTTTCCTTTCTCTGATGTCCTTTTTTGTTTCAACATTCATATCAACTTGCACTTTATTTTGGTCTTTATCATTTGATTTCATTCGTGCCTCGAAGAATTTTCTTTTATCACTCAAACTTAAAGTATGTGATTTTGATTGATTTAAATCCTGTGCTGCCAAACTTTTACTTTCTTTATCATTTGACAATTTTCCTTGTGAATTATTGGGTTTATCAAGTCTTTTGTTACTCTTATTATACTGCTTTTCATCTATTTTACCTACTTTTCCAGTTATTCCATTTTGCCTGTCTGATTTTTTGTGACTTATTTCAGAATCTGTTTTGCATCCCTCTTTATTTCCAATAAAAGCTTGTTTCTCATCAATCAAATGATCCTGCTGTGAACTTTTATCTACAAGCATTCTGTGACTCTTCACATTTGCTACTTCCTTTACTTTCTGCTTCAATTCATTTATTTCTTTGTCAACAAACGTGTCCCTTTTTGTAAATGGATGTTCATCAATAATCGTTTGGTTTGTATCTTCCTTACGTTTCCTTGATTCTGATTGCTTCATTTTATTTATTGTTACCTCAAAACCTTCATCTGCAGGCTGTTTGCTGTTTACTTTATCATCTGATTCAGAAACATGTGCATTCCTCACTTTTGTTTTAATACCTTTGTTTTCAAAATGTTTGCTCTTCTCATTTAGATGTTCAGTCTTTGAGCTGTCAATACTTATCTTTTCTGAAGACTTTTTATTTACATGACTATCTCCTAAACTTTCTTCTGACTTCTCTAATATCTTTGAAACCGGAGAACAAGTTTGTTCCAGTGCCGATTCTTTATTGCTCTTTGATTTGCTTGCCATTAATAAAACAATTTTGTCTACCATTTCATTATCCATGTTTGATTGAAGTAGAGTGTCTTTAAGCTCTTGAAATGAGCCTTTCTTTTTATGTTCAGTTTTTGTATCATTGTATTTCTCATTTTTATCCCTAGTGTCATCATTATTATGATCAATTACAGATGTTTTGTTGACATCATTGCATATTGTTGATTGTATGCTGGAAGATGGTGATACTGTTTTTGTAAGGTTTGTTAAATCAGAAAAATTACCACATATTTCACTGTTCTTTAAGTTCTTTATTCCTGTCACTGGCTTTTTGGTCCCATCAACTGACTTTTTGGAACCAACACTACTACAATTTTCTAATTCATTTGAATTTTTCTCCAGGTTTGACTTGGTCTTATTCTTAACACTCTCACCTTTTTCAAATGACGTTCTTTTATTTTTATGAGATTTCAGATTTTCATCTGCAACATTTTCAGCCCTGCTTTTGTCTTTTTCATGAGTAACAGATTTCTTTTCTTGATGCTCATTTTTTTCTGCTTTTTTGTTTCCAATTTTAATTGTATCTTCTATTACTACTTGCTGGCAATGAATGCTTGATTTTGAATCCATTGTTTTATTTTTATCAGTATGATTAACCGAAGGATTATTACTTTTAACTCTTTCAGGCAATTTCCTGTTTACTTCATTTTCTGGCTCCTCACTTTGTCCACTGCATTCATCATTAGATATTTGTGACATTTCCTTTGGAATTGTCTCCAGGTTTGATTTAGTCTTAGTCTTAGTCTTACCATCCTTCTCACCTTTTTCAAATGACTTTCTTTTACTTTTTAAAGTTTTATGCCTTTCATCTGTAACATTTATAATTCTCCTATTGTACTTTTCAAGTGTCACAAAGTTATCTTCTTGTTGCTCACTAATTTCTTCTCTTTTCTTTCCATTCTTTGTTGTATTTTCTATTATTACTTTCTGCAAATTATTGCTTGACTTTGAATCTTTTGTCTTCTTGTTGTCAGTATCGCTGACTAAAGAAGAATCACTGTCTATTTTGCTTTGCAGTTTTCTGTCTAACATATCTTCTTTGTCAGCTTCACTTTCAGCCTCCTCACTTCGTTGACTAAAATCATCACTTGATATTGGTGACATTGTAAGATCTCCTATAGTGACTTCAACTTTTGTGCTTTCTTTTTCAGAATTATTATTCCTTCTATTATTACCTCGTGAAAATGAATCTGCATACTTCTTTTCATACATTCTTGATATAACCGAATTTGGTTGCTTTGACGAATAACCCCTATTTAAGTTTTTATCATTTATTTTTACATTTCTCTTATCAGAAGAATTTCTGGCAGGACTATTTGAGCTAACAGAAGAAGCTGATTCGGATCTTGTTGATGAAGATGATGATTTGGACCTGCTTCTTCTATATTCCCTAATTCTATGTCTTCTAGTACCTCTTGAGGTAGATCCAGAGGAATTTCCTCTGGGACTTGAAGATCTATAGCTTCTTCTTGGGCTGTTTGAATACCTCCTACGTGAGCTACTCCCTCTTCTATCAACTCTTCTCTCTTCATAACGTGATCTATTTGGAGAATAAAAGTGTCTTTTATTTTTTGAATGGCCACGTTCAGATTCATCTCTTTCAGCCATATAATAGTCAAGATTATAATGATCAGTTTTATTTTCTTTATCATTATGATTGGTTCTTTGCCTAGAATCAGACACACTATTGAGTCTATCTTGTGGCGAATATTGTCTATAGTCTTCATGCTGGTACCCTGCATAGTGAGCTCCCTGCTTTTGCCTATAGAAATGACCTTGATACTGTTGATAGCTTATTTGATGATGCTGTTCGTGTGATTGATGTTGGTAGTTTTGACGATACATTTCATCATTTTCTAATAATTCTGTTTCTGCTAAGCTATCAATCTTTTCAACATCCTCCGCCCTTCCACTGAAACTTTTTCTCGCTGTTCTAGTCCTGCAAAGAAAAGAACATACATACATTGTTCCCATTATCTAAATTATTTCTCAAAAGATAAAGCCTTCAACAACAAAACAAAAGAGTAGAACTGTATCAAAATACAAACGTCAAAAGTTACTGCCTACATTAAAGGCACATTATGATTCAGAAATCTGTATTTCTTTAGTTCTTTAGAAATGTTGAACATGTATTTAATTATGTTATAACAATGGAATAAGAACACTTTAGATGTTAAATAACTGAAGAAAGTAGCAATAAATTTGCAGTTATCTGTCGCAAAGATAGCACAATGTAAGCAAACAGAGCAAAAGAAGAAGATATTTCATGTGTATGGTATAGAGGATATTTGTTTGTTTTGCATGTAAAATCGAAATATATTTTACCCAGTGGATACCAGATGCAATATTTTCACGAGTGGCATAGCCACAAGTAAAAATATAATAGCTGGTGTTCACAAGTGAAATATATTATAATCTTACATGTAAAACAAACAAACTTTCTATTTATTTCATGTTTTTTAGTGATTTTAAGTCATTTTACTTATTTTGCTGCATAATGTCATGCATTTTTCTTCATGATGTTGTCACATCATGACATCACAGTACCAAGGTTTGAAATTTTGTTCTGTAAAATTTCTCGAATTTTGTTACATTTTTAACACAATGTATGCAATGTACTTGCTTGCTTCTCCTAAAGAAGCAAAATTTACATACCACAGAATTTATTCCTGTTGATAATTCCATTTAGTTATGAAATATTATTTTCATCCGCATTCAAATATAGTCAGGCTACAGTGAAAATTATCAAATATAATTTCACTGTAAAAATAATCAAATATAATTTCACTGTGAAAATTATCAAATATAATTTCACTTCCATTGCAAAGCATGTTATAAAAGTATTTTTTGGAAACTGTAACATGATATCAAAAATAAAAAGTTTTTTAGTTAGCATTAATTAATGAGGCATAATGGGCCTTTAATATTATATGGCAGGCAAAGTTTAACATAGTTCATCATAATTTTTTCCTAAAACCAATGATTGCTTTTGTCCGGATTGTTAATTAAGTTCACAAAGGAATATATATCACAACCAATTTTGAACATAAAGACATTTATGAAAATTAAAGTGAACCTACGGTATGTGGTTAATGAGAAAGAAGTTTGATGCAGGCTTAGCTTAAAGCAACATGCCTCCAGATTCATCCTAAATTTAATGAAAATTTTGAAAATGTATCTAAAAGTAAAATATTGTGAAATGAACAAAGAAAGTAATTTACACATTGCAATCGGGACTTATAATCCACATAAATTACCAAAACGAGGTCAAAATATGCAAAAATAGCCCTTACTGCATTAGTAACGCAGTAGAAATATGGTGAAAAATACTGCAAAAAACAGTCATTAATTGCACATAAGATATAAATTATCCCTGGAATCTTTAATCTGTTTACTTTTCTTAAAATATTAATACAGTTTTTCCAAGTTTAATATTCTTGAAATATTTTGGCTCATCTGGAGGCATGCAGCTTTAATAAAGAGATGTTATATAAATAATAATATAAATAAATTCTTTTTAGCTATTTATTCACAGTACATCCCCCTGTGAGATCTGCATATTGAATTTTTGTGATACATATGTCTTTTTCAATAAATGAGACCGAGGACTTCATAATATAGAGGATAGCGTAAGATCAGAATATATTTCACCAGATGAGCACCAAAAGGTATATTTCATGAGTGGTGCAGCCACGAGTGAAATATGAACTTTTGGTGTTCACAAGGTGAAATATATTTCGATCATACACTAAACTAAACAAATTTTCTTTTTATTATATGCAAAGAAACGTTTTAAAAAGACATTAAACCTAATACCGAATGAAAAGCGCGCCAAATAATAATATAATGTGACGTCATTCACGATGTCAAATCATTATGTTGGTTCCCAGTACTGTGCACGCTGTATTTCACTGAAACAATGTAAGGGGCTTAAATTCGAAACAGTGAAATTATCAAATTGATAATTTCACTGTTTAAAACAGTGAAATTATCAGTTTTATATCACTGATATATTTCTACAAACCACCTAGTCTATACCGCAATCACAGCAATCACCTTTGTTGTTATATTGTAATAAGCTGTACACAATTGTACCATTCTTACATAATCTACTGAAAATCAGTTTTATTTAGATAATATATTACCAGGTCATCTAGCTCTGAGATGACCATGAATTTCTTAACTTTTTAGAGCAAACCCCTCTTTATAACAACAACACCATTTATTCCAAAAGTAAGACTTAAATAATAAAATAATAACAATAATAATAAATTTAACCTCTGAAGAGCAACACCTTTAAGCAGGAGATCAAACCTTTGTCACACAAAGCGAGTTTCTCTACAAAGGTTGTACTGTTATTTTGTTTGAGCTAGTCTGCATTTAAAAATTCATGTAATATTATGAAATATGCACAAATACCCTTTGCCTCATTTGATTTTTTTGTTTCTGTTGGGTTTCAAGTCACACTGTCAAAGTAAAAGTCAAATTGTGACTTACTAGCTTTACCTGTGGAAAAAAACCTGAGGTGTCTGGTCTCTTTGTGCATTATTTCAGGCACAAGCAGGCACTGAGAAGAACCACCAATCTCTCTATAAGCTAGCTGGATAGCTTCCTCACATGAAAGAATTCAAAGTCCCTGACAAGATTCAAACCCACAGCAGTGACGGCCAAATGACCTTAACCACTTGGTCCTGGCTTGATAAGAAATGCAATAATGGGGTTACTTTAACAGACTGGTGAAAATGTCCAATCGAGCTTATGAAAAATAATAAAGAGATTTCTTTTAAACTTTGTTTGTTTATTGATCATAATATATGACATAAACAGAAAGAAAAATAATTGGTTACTGTCACTTTTGTGAGAATTATTTTTCCCTTTCTCATGTAATTTTTGAAGTCCTTAAAAATATGTTGCAATGTGAAATTCATAACAGAAATGTGTTTAACATCTTCATTTTGCTAGAAATTATTGCACCAGTACATTTATTCTATATATTTGGATTTAATATTCTGTTTCTGGTATAAATACTTTGACAATTCTTTGAAACTGAACATTATACTTTGAAGTTTTGAAATGTATGCTGACAGGTGTTGGCGAAATGAATTGGATCATAAAGAAGTTATTTAACTAATTAAATTATGTGTTATATAAACATGAAAAAGGGGAAATAATTCTCACAAAAGTGCTAGTTATCAAATATTTTTCTTTTTGTTTATGTTATACATTATGCTCAATAAAGAAATAAGCCCACCAGCCTGTTTAATCCTATTGAATTATGTAAGGACTAAACCTGTTACTGCACTAAGGTGATGAAATATTATAATTGACATAAAATATGCAGATTTATGCAGATCCACAAAAAAAGACCCCCCCCCCCCCCCAAAAAAACAACAAAAACACCAAACATCACCAAAATTGTTTTCAGCTCTTCACACCTATTTTTCAGAAATTTTACTTGCTTAATAATTAACATTACATACATTTGTAATTATGAACTCAATGCCTAACCTATAGGAATGCATATTTTAATGACATCTTAAGCTTCTACATACCATATAATCATCTTTACAATCTTTTCTTACTCCACAAATTGTTATCCAATCCTCTCATACATGAATGTGTACATAATACCGGTAATGCGGTTTGTATAGCAGCCCCTGTAAATCTTCCCCAGGGTATAATACATTGTACCTAGTCTATACAGCAATCACCTTTGTTGTTATATTGTAATAAGCTGTACACAATTGTACCATTCTTACATAATCTACTGAAAATTGGTTTATTTAGATAATATATTACCAGGTCATCTTGCTCTGAGATGACCATGAATTTGTTAACTGACCCATAACTTTTTCAAGTGGCTATTATTATCCATTATTGAGTAAGCATAGAATTTTTTCATCATTTTTGCCATTTTTTCGCACAAGGTGAAATGAAAAAGATGTGATAAAAGGCCTGTCAGATCCGTATAAAGATCAGTTTGTTATCATACTTAATCTGGGCAACATAAGTGTTGCACAATGACAGCTCTTATTCACTAAGTTTCTAATTCACCATTTAGCATGTCTACATAGCAATAAAAATGTCTTGAACTTTGACAGTAAAGTTAAATATTGTTTGAATTTATGATTATAAACAAACATTCATGAGTTCACTTCAGGGTTCATATGATATGACAAAAAACTATTAAAATAGGGAATTAAACCAAAATAGATTTTCTTTTATAATATTAACTCATTACTTTATGGACAATAAATAACCATTTTGTAACATAACTAGAATGTTAATATTTCAAGATCTGTTTCACCCTGTGCCAAACCTGATATTACATAGATGTTTGCAAAGAGTGACCAACATTTATTTTTTAAAAAAGCCCTGGCGCATAATTTGTTTACACAGGTTTGATTCCCGAACGGCTTGGGTCACTCTTGTTGTGATAGATCATAAAATCCTTTCCACAGCCATTCACACTGTACTGCTGCCATAGCATATACATAAGTTATCACTTCCTTGCAAAAGTGAAGGCACTATTGTACTGGTAGATTTTTGACAGTCTGTAAAGAACAGTGTGGTTGCTGAACTGTGCTCTGGTGAATTCTAACTATCAAAGTAGCATACTGCCCTGATCAAGAGGGTAAACTACCAAACAGCCACCAGAGTTGCCTGATAACAGTCCTGACTCCTGTTGTCCTGTTTCATGTCTGGCTTTATTCATATTATTATACCATTATCAGCATTTTGCTGCAGCTCAGAAATAATTTCCCTAAGAAACTTGACAAAATTTCTTCATCTCTCTTGCTGAATTTTCAATTTATGGATAAATTAACAAATCACATTTGCAAAATTTCACTGCTTTTAATCCAACTTTATTTAATATCCATGCTTTTTGAAATTTTTCATAAGCTTACACATGTATTTCATAAAATCAAACAATTTGCTTAAACCATTTAAACTAATTTGACTATTTACAGCAGATAATGTGTTTTTGTGTGTGTTTTTCCTTCTTCTTTTAACACAAATTTTAAAGATAAGTTATTAATTAATTACAATTTCATCAATAATGAAATCTTTATCCACACTGAAAATCTAAGAAACTAAATAAAAACAAATCCATCAACACAAATCTGAACAGAAAATCACATACAATAAGTTAATTATCATTTACATCCACTTACTTTTTGACAAATCTCATTTTTTCACAATGATTATATTACATTTATCCATAGATTACTGAGCTGCCCCTGTCTAAAACAAGTATGTTTGCACAAATGTCAGAAAATGTACCCCAGTCATATGAGACAGGTCTTTGCTTTATGACCTTTACACTCCAGAAAGCACCAGATTTATCTCTCCTCAAGGAATTTTACTGTTCCCACATTGATAGGGATATTTCTATCACTCCAATTAACCTATTATAATATGAGGTCAAAGTGTTAACCAGTTAAACAGATATCACTATCAACTTGCAATCAGACAAAACTGTGAAAACATTTATCACTTCAGACAATTTAAATTAAGCCTGGATTTTGGCATTCATATACTTGATAATTATAAACAATGAAAGTGACAATTTATAATTGCTCTCAAAGGAAAACAGATCTGAATAAAATAACTCAAACATCCCACCTGCTGAGCTGATAAAGTTCTGATTATGAGAAACATCTTGCCACATTGTAACACAACACTGATATGATAAGGAGAAAGTTTTACAAGTTTCAGCACATGTGGTGTGTAAAATCTGCAAATCACAACAAACACATGTAAATCATGAAAATTGTGAAAGTTCATGTACAGCTATATTCATTTTATTGTTTATTTAGATAAGAGCTGTGAAAACAGGTTTCGGTGTGTAAAAAGACAGTGTAAATATTAAATGAGCAATGTTGTGTTATTCAAAAATGTAAGGCATAAAAATTAAGTTACCCTTCCAAAGTTTTTAATTTAGCATTTGCAAAAAGAACTTATTATGCAGCAGGGGGAAGGGTGGATGCTTAAGGTCTTTTCTAATCAATACCTTAAAGATAGACTGATATCAAGCTTATAATAGACTAGGATATTGAATGATTCTTTGCCAACTAAACCCATGTAGGGCTTCCTTCCTGCCAGATGCTATCTTAGGCTAGTGGCTATGTATGATTTGGAGTGCTTTGATATCATTCGGGACAGCATTATCAGTTAGTGCATGAGACTTGTAATCTCGACATTATGAGTTCAATTCCTGGTCTGGCCAACTAAAATTATTAATCAGTCTTCGGATGAGGCTTTAAATCGAGTTCCTGTGTAGGAAAGCTTAAACACTTGGCAAAATAAAGAAGCTTCTGGAACTAGGCATCTTTCTGTATCATGCACTACAATCATCATTTTCTAAATGTTCTTGTTTGTTGAAAAAATAAATTTTGAGTTACAAAGTAGGGATAATTTTAATATTTAAAATCAAGCAAAATAACATGTAGAAATTTTAACCAAAACATAAAACAAGAGGGCCATGATGGCCCTGAGGTCGCTCACCTGTATATAGCCCCCCCCCCCCGGCCCAATTTTTACCCAAGGGCTTTTATTTGTTTATTTGAACAGACTTGGTAGACACCCATAAGAAGATGTTTCATGCAAAACATCTAAGTTCTAGCTCATTGGGTTTTTTAAAAGAAGATTTTTTAAGTTTTTACTATACACATAGAGTAAAAAACAATGACACCCCTCGGGCAGGGCCAGTTTTGACCCCTGGGCTTTTATTTGAACAAACTTTGTAGATATTTACTTAAAGATGTTTCATGCTTAATATCTAAACTCTAGTTATTTGGGTTTTTTCAAAGAAGATTTTTAAGTTTTTGCTATGCATATAAGGAAAATCAATGACCCCCGGGGCGGGGCCAGTTTTGACCCCAGGGCTTTTATTTGAACATACTTGGTAGACACCCATTAGAACATGTCTCATGCTAAATATCTTAGCTCTAGCTCTTTGGGTTCTTTAAAAGAAGATTTTATAAGTTTTTACTATATGCATATAAGGAAAATCAATGACCCCTGGGGAGGGGCCAATTTGGACCCCAGGGGTTTTATTTGAACAAACTTGGTAGACATTCACTAAAAGATGTTTCATGCCAAATATATAAGCTTTAGCTCTTACAGTTCTTTAAAAGAAGATTTTTAAGTTTTTACTATATGCATATAGGGAAAATAAATGACCCCCTGGGGCGGGGCCAATTTTGACCCCAGGGCTTTTATTTGAACAAACTTGGTAGACATTTACTAGAAGATGTTTTATGCCAAATATCTAAGCTCTAGCTCTTACAGTTCTTTAAAAGAAGATTTTTTAAGTTTAAACTATATGCATATAGGGAAAATCAATTACCCCCCAGGGCGGGGCCAATTTTGACCCCAGGGCTTTTATTTGAACAAACTTGGTAGACATTCACTAGAAGATGTTTCATGCCAAATATCTAAGCTCTAGCTCTTTGGGTTCTTTAAAAGAAGATTTTTTTAAGTTTTTACTTTATGCATATAGGGAAAATCAATGACCCCCTGGGGCGGGGCCAATTTTGACCCCAGGGCTTTTATTTGAACAAACTTGGTAGACATTCACTAGAAGATGTTTCATGCCAAATATCTAAGCTCTAGCTCTTACAGTTCTTTAAAGGAAGATTTTTTAAGTGTTTACTATATGCATATAGGGAAAATCAATGACCCCCCGGGGCGGGGCCAATTTTGACCCCAGGGCTTTTATTTGAACAAACTTGGTAGACACTCACTAGAAGATGTTCCATGCCAAAAATCTTAGCTCTAGCTCTTACAGTTCTTTAAAAGAAGATCTTTTAAGTTTTTACTATATGCATATAGGGAAAATCAATGACCCCCCGGGGGCGGGGCCAATTTTGACCCCAGGGCTTTTATTTGAACAAACTTGGTAGACACTCATTAGAAGATGTTTCATGCCAAATATCTAAGCTCTAGCTCTTAGGGTTGTTTAAAAGAAGAAATTGAAAGATTTTTCTTTCGGTTGCCATGGCAACCAGAGTTCTGCATGGAATTAAATTCTTTGAACAATTTTTAAAGGTGACCACCAAAGGAACATTCCTGTGAAGTTTGGATGAAATTGGCTCAGTGGTTTATGAGGAGATGTCATTTAAAGCAAAAGTTTACGGACGGACGACGGACGGACGCCGGACGGACGGACGGACGGACGCCGGACGAAAAGCGATCACAAAAGCTCACCCTGTCACTTTGTGACAGGTGAGCTAAAAACTGAACTGTAACACCATTACCGTGATTTTAAATTATAACATACTGTTTTCAAAATGGCCGACATATGGTCTATGTTTGGTAAATTAAAATTGACTTTGAGTTTAACTGAATATATTTTTTCCTTGTGCAATACAGCAGAAAATACCTCAGAGATCTGCCGAGGACGCGATTTTGCGCCATTGGCGCTAAAAAAATGAGAATGGCGCAGGAAAATCGGCAGCAAAGGGCCATGGGCGCATCTAAAATCTGTGCAAGACTTATAAGAAAACAAAACTGTCTGCTGGGTTATTTAGTCATCCAGTCAAAACTGGTACCAACAGCAACATGTTACCCATGCTCCTGTAATTACACATATTCTTGAGTTTATCCATTCCCCTATAGCTTTTGTCCATGTTATCTAGTATATAATCTACTTACCGCATTTCTTCTCATAATCCCTTTCCCACACAGATACTCATTTCTACTACCGTAAATTTAATCCAATAAAACAAACAAACAAATTATACAACTACTTAATATTTAAAATGATTATCGGTAACTGAAAAAAAAATGTTGCTATTTTAAGAAATGCTGTAAGTTACAGTATAATCTGACAGGTGTTCAACTTGATCAACCCTAAGGTCACTCAAGTTCACGCAAGTTTTGGCTGATGAAGTGTAAAAAAAGATGTATATTTCGTCATCAGAATGTTTGACAGGGTGATTAACCAATCAGAGAAACATTGTGCATGACTTTTTTCATGATCAAAAGGTCTGTCGGCAAATGTCTTTGATGTATGCTGTCTACACAGAGGCATACAAGGGGCGATAAAATTCGTCAATATACAGTAGTAAGGGACATTTGGTGCAAAGTAGGAACAATTAAATGGATAATGCACAATATAAGACATTACAAGTAAGAACCAGCAATTATGTGAATAAATTTGCATATCAAATTTTTGAGCAGCCATTTAAAAAATATTTTCATTTTTGCCTGCAATTAATATTAGTTAGAAAGTTACCATGTAGGCATAATTTTAATTATTGGTAAAGTACTGAATTATAAGTGAACCACTTGTCATAAAATAAGATTTAAGTTTTATTACCGGGGCAATTCAATTATCTACAAACTTTTTAACAGTTTTTTTTGGTCAATGTTTACTTATTTTCCAAAGGCCCATACTTTGGTAAAAATGGCCCATCATTTTCAGACCAAGTGGGCCCAGGGCCCAGTACTTTCAAATTCTTGGCAGATCTCTGTACCTAGTATACGTTTTAGCTTTATTATGACAATTTTTGTACCATAAATTTCATTTGTTGTTTTCTTTCTGGTTTCAAAGCGTTATGTACCGTGAACTAAGAGGAGCACAGCAGCATGCCCAGAAACGCACAAATGTTGGTTTTTCACGCAGAAAATACAATGCCTACGCACATTTTTCAAAGTCAAGTATGTGCGTCCAAAAACGCACTTTTTTTGCCGTTGGTAAATGAACTAAATCGGCAATAAATTGGTGGCCCGCAACCTATAGGTAAATAGCCAAAATATCCCGGCTTTACTATAGGTGATCCCCGGATTTTCCCCCAACCAAAATAGGGTGGCCGGTAACCAAATTTGAGCAGGTGCTTGTTACGTCATTATACTGACAATTTTCTAAAGAGTTAATAGTTAATTATTTACGTTGCAGAAGGTAATTACCTTTAATTACCTGTATTTATCTCAAATAACTATGTAAAAACTACGCATTGACAACAAAACAAATAAAAATCTAGAAGATTCCACAGCTGTCATGGCCAAATTTTCCGCCGCGGTCAGGCCAAAACAACAACTGTGAGCTGACATGTCACATGACCAATGACTTTCGTAAAACTTAATGTCTGTCTTTATTTTGAATGTATAAAAATAATACATTGTCATTGCTTGATCTGTTATAATATATATATTTTTGTCTTTTTAATTCGCTGAAAATTTTGGTTTTTGGTTGCCATGAATGATTTTATTATACGATATTTATAGGGCTGTTCTTCTACCGGCTTATAGATCTTCTGTAATAAAATTAATAAAAAAATATATAATAATGAAAAAAAATGTAAATACACCATTTATTGTAATTTATTGAATAATGGTAATTCAATAAACATTTTATTACTTTGGTGAAAATACATTTTCAATCAAATAAAAAATTCATTTTGGTAACTAGCAATTTTTGTAGTGCTATAATTTTAGTATTTTACATTTCTACTGATACAGGTGATTACAAATCAGATTCTAACCCAAAAAAATTCAAAGCATAAACTGAAGCTAGTGTTGAAATTGTGATTGTATGCATCAAGGCATTTGAATTTATTAAAAT